GACTGAAATTGCCACACCTTGGTGGCTCTTGTAGACTGTGCCCTTTCCATCTTCCTGGAGGGATCTGCATGTATGTGCAAGCCTGTAAGGACCTGGTTTCCCTTCCCAGGAGTGTTTTGGTGCCTTCTGTCAACTATATGGTCTGTCACAGCACTTCACCGTGGATCCATGCAGTTCCAGCCAAATTAAAGATAATGTTAAATTAAATGTCAGTAGCTTTGAGGATAGCTGGCTGTCTTCCCAGAAGAGCCCAACCCAGTGGACATGCACAGAGCTCAGCTCAGCTCAGCTCAGCTCCTTCCTGTTGCCTTCCCAGGCCCCTGCCCTGTCAACCATTAGTAGTGTGGTACTGAGTGAGGACTCGGCCAGGTTTCTATCCTGGGATGTGGGAGCCTCTTTGATCCCTGGTGTCAACATTTGTGTCTAAGGGACTGAAACCTTCCTGGATGAAACGTCTCCTGAAGAGGTGAACAATTAGTATACATGACAACCTCCACCACAGTGGGGCCTCTCCAAGCCAGCATCTAGGACAGGGAGGGCCTGTTCTGTTGTGAACCCTGCCTGGGGTTTCGTGGGGGAGTTGACACCAGGTACCTGAAACCCTGGCACAAGATTGCCACTTTCTCACTGTCCTGTTGTCTGTTTTCTGCCTCTAGTTCAGGATCTCAAGGGGCTTGGTTACGAGAAGGGGAAGCCTGTGGGCCTGGTGGGTGTCACAGAACTGTCTGATGCACAGAAGAAGCAGCTGAAGGAGCAGCAAGAGGTAAGGCCACGGGGGGGATTCACTCTGCCCCTCCCGCAAGGGCCACTATGGTGTCCCTGTGTGAGTGCTGCATGAGGACTCCCGACAGGCAGGTCTCCAGAAGCAGCCTTGGGGCGGCGCCCAGGACCTGTGGACTGGGTCTTAGAGAGAGGTCTCCTTGTGCTGCTCCCTGTCCCAGCTCCCTGCAGTGTCTAGGTCAGGTGGGTCACAGGCCCAGGCCCAGCCCTGCCTTGCCATAGGCCTGCAGCCTGACGGCTGTGCCCACTCTGCACGCTGGGAGGCAGGTGCTGCAGCTCTTGCCCTGCCCTGCTTTCTTGAGCAGGAAGACGCCCTCACCAAGTCCCTGCCTGTCTTATCCACAGATGCAGCAGATGTATGACATGATTATGCAGCACAAGCGTGCCATGCAGGACATGCAGCTGCTGTGGGAGAAGGCGCTGCAGCAACACCAGCATGGCTATGACAGCGATGAGGAGGTGGACAGCGAGCTGGGCACCTGGGAGCACCAGCTGCGGCGAATGGAGATGGACAAGACACGGGGTGTGCGGGGCTTGGGGGATGGTACAACCTGGCCGTGGCACATGGCCCAGAGACGTCACCTCTGCCTCTGTTGCCTTAGTGTGTGGGGAGGGGAGGGGGAGCCTCCATGAGCAATCACTGCATTGTGTGGAACACTGGCAGGGTCGCAAGTCAAGGAAGGGCAACATTGGTGCCACCCCACGCCATCCCTCACCGTTTGCCTTTCCCTCTTTGCAGAGTGGGCCGAGCAGCTAACACAGATGGGTCGGGGCAAGCACTTCATTGGTGACTTCTTGCCCCCTGATGAGCTAGAGAAGTTCATGGAGACCTTCAAGGCCCTGAAGGTGAGCGCCCGGGGTCAGACCTAGGGAAGCTGATGGGAAGACACCCAGCTTTCCCGTGCCACGGCAGGTGCTAACAGGTAGAAAATGAAAGACAGTGCAGCATTTCCCAGCCACAAGAAATCATACCTCCAGAGGACCTCCAAAGCAGAGGGGCTTTTCTTTCTTTCTTTTTTATTTTCAAGACAGGGGCTTACCAGTGGTGGTGGAGCATGTCTTTATTTAATCCCAGCACTCGGGAGGCAGAGGCACGTAAATGTGTGAGTTCGAGGCCGGCCTGGTCTAAAGAGAATTCTATGACAGCCAAGGCTACACAGAGAAATTCTGTCTCAGGAGGAAAAAAAAAAAAGACAGGCTCTTGCCGTGCAGTCTTGACTCTCTGTGTAATCCAGGCTGACCTTGATCCTTGGTCATCCTACCTCTGCCATTCAAGTGCTGGGAGGCACCGCCTTCCGTACTGCTCCTGCTGTGGTGGTCTCAAGAAGCGGTGGGCTGCTGTGACATGGACTGGGTTCTCTTTGTATCCCATAGCCATGCTGTTTAGTATTCTGTGTGATAGGTTGTCCCCAAGCTGGGTATTGGAACAAATTGTTTTTAGAACATGAGCTATTCTTCGTCAATAAACATCCCAATGGGGCTGTGTCCGTTGTCACCTTGCCCTTTTCACTTGACTGCCAGGAAGCTCAGCGCTTGGAGAGAACAGAAGCCCTTAATGTGTTTGAGTGGAGTCTGCCACTGATGGGAGTGGGGCACATGGGTGGTCCCATTCTGGAGTGGAGCTAAGAGCAGGTGGGGCGACATTGGAACCAGAGCTGGGACCCAGCTGTAGACAGCTGCCGTCCCCATGGCTGGCAACTTCCTCTCTTCTGTTGCAGGAGGGCCGAGAGCCAGACTACTCTGAGTACAAGGAATTCAAGCTGACAGTGGAGAACATCGGCTACCAGATGCTCATGAAGATGGGCTGGAAGGAGGGCGAGGGGCTGGGCACCGAGGGCCAGGGCATCAAGAACCCAGTGAACAAGTGAGTGCGCCAGGGGCCTTGCAGGGAGCTCACAGATGGACCAGGCCTTAAGGTTCCAGAAACTGTGAGAACGGTCCATGTGTGAAGCCTTGCTCCCCACACTACTGTGTGACCTCAGGGCTGGCTGACCTGAGTCTGGGTGGATCTAGGACCCCTCCCAGGGCTGCTGTACCCTGTCGTCCTTTCCTTCTGTCCCATCTGGGCCCTACTTATGGCAGCCGACTTTCCCCAGGGGTGCCACCACAGTAGATGGAGCTGGCTTTGGCATTGATCGGCCGGCTGAACTCTCCAAGGAGGACGATGAGTACGAAGCCTTCCGCAAGAGGATGATGCTGGCCTACCGCTTCAGGCCCAACCCTCTGGTGTGTGCCTTCCTGACTCCCTGCTGCTGGGGGGAGGTGACAGCAGAGGACCTGCAGTCTCCCACTAACAGTATCACTTTTCATTTTTCTGGCCTCCCACAGAACAACCCCAGACGGCCCTACTACTGAATATTCTGGAAACACAAAGTCTACTTTCGATTAGCCATCCTGGACTGTGGAATGTTGTGGCATACATCTCTGCCTATGCTGTTGTCACAAGTGTTGTGCTGTGTATTAAAGTCCCAATGCTCTCCTGCCCAGCATTTTGTTCCGTGAAGTTGCTAAGACCCCTTTTGTCCTTCTGGTCACAGTGTGGATCATCATTGAGTCCCAACAACTGAAGTCCAGCCAGTTAGTGAGGACTTTACCCCAGGCACAGAAGGAAAAGGGGCCTCCAAACACTTTGTGATATGTGCATAGGCCTTTGTGTCCTGGGCATAGCTTGGGGTGGGGGGCTATCTGGAGGCAGAGACCTGGGAGGGGCTGTCCCATACTAGAAGCTCATGCAAGGGTCTTTGAAAAACCTGATCTACTGCTCACTGCAGAGCCGCAAGAGCTCAGCTGGAGGCCATGATGAACAAATGGCCTCCTAGTATCAGTCCCTTGGGTTCTCCTGAGCCAGTGACAACTGCCATGGGACCTACTGTGGGAATGACACACCAAAGCTTCATGCCCAGGCATGGGTTCACACTTGCCTGTGGTCACTTCAAGAAAGCTCTCGTGCTGTATCCAAGTAGACATGGCTTCCCTTTCAGTGAGAATCCATTATGCCCCTCTCTTCCTCTCAAGACAGGGTTTCTCGGCACAGCCTTGGCTGTCCTGGAACTCACTCTGTAGACGAGGCTGGCCTGGAACTCAGATCCACCTGCCTCTGCCTCCTGAGTGCTGGGATTAAAAGCGTGTGCCGTCACTGCCTGGTACCGTAATGCTCTCCTGATCAACAGGTTGTGGGTGACAATGATATGGAAATACAAGAGGATTAAAAGAGTCACTGTTGCCAGGTGGTGGTGGCTCACACATTGAATCCAGCACTTGAAAGGCAGAGGCAGGAGGATCTCGGAGTTCAAGGCCAGCCTCGTCTACAGACAGAGTTCCAGGGCAACCAGAGAAACTTGCAAAATGTCAAATAGAACACAACTTGATGCTCTAGGTACACCTGTCACAGCTCCTGTGCCCACATGTACACAGACATCTTTAATTCAAAAGGGAGTGTCCCTCTCCATGTTCAGGTCTAAGAAGTCAGAGGTGCAGAGAGGGCACATAGTGGTCCACACCTGTAAGAGCTGTCTGTGCAAGCATGAGGACCCAAGTTCCTATTCCCACTATGCATGAAAAAGTCAGATACTGTTAAAGATGGCGATGGGGAGGATCACTATTTCCTGGCTGCCAGCCTAGCTCCAGGTTTAAAGAAACGCCCTGTCTTCAAAAGAGTAGATCAGGACACCCCACCGACTTGCTCCTCTGATCTTTGCGCTCATACAGACATACAATTCATCTCAGTGTCCTCCCCCAATTCCAAAAGGAAGACCATGCTTGGAGCAGGGCACAAAAGGACCAGGAGTCGGCAGCTGTGAGAGGCCGAGGCGGAGCTAAGGGTAGGGCTATGTGGTCCGAATGAGGCAAAGGCCTTGGCCGCAGCTATGTAGTGGTTGTGCGTGGGGCCTGGGGCCGGCGCTGTGCAGGCGTCGTTACAGTCCTGCAGCCGCTGGGAGCGCGGCCTCAGGAGAGGAGTAACTGTGAAGGGGGCGGAGAGAGGATGGCTATTGTGGACTCAGGTGAAGGGGCGTGGCTACAGGTCAACTGGCCTGGGGGCGGGGCTATAAACTGAGTGGAAGTAAGGGGCGTGGCTACAGCCGTGCGGCCGCTGAAAGTGGGAAAGAGCGTAGCGATCAAAGCCTGTGCAATTGGTGAATGGGCTGAGGGCGGGAACTTATGGGCGGAGACTCATGGGGGCAGGACCTCGCATGGTGTCCAGGAATAGGTGCGCGGTTAAGGGTAGCGGCTTGGCCCCGCACGGGGCGACCTTTGCGCGGGGCAGGTCCCTGGCACCCCGGAGCTCAGACTCGCGGCAGTCGAGGAGCCAATTGTCCCGAAGGCCGCGCCGGGGTTGGGGCGCCGCTGCCATGGACATCCCGCCGCTAGCTGGCAAGACCGCGGCGATGTCGCTCGGCGCCCTGCCTGTGTCCTACGCGCTCAACCACGTCTCGGCGCTCTCACAGTGCGTTTCGTCCGCGAGGACCATCGGGCTAGAGGGAGGATGAGGGGTGGCGGAGCCCGGGAGGGTCGAACTGGGCCTTGAGGACGCCCATGTAAGCAGAAATCCCCATCTCGTCGCCCACAGGCAAGGGGATGCTGTGGTGGGGTTCTGGGAAAAGGTGATGTGGAGCCTTAGTGTTTGGGAGTTTATGGGTATTCCAAAGATGCACCCCGCGCAGGTTCCAAAGTCGCCTAGGGTCAAAGTTTTGTCCCAGATAAAGCCCTACTACTGATCCAGCTCCCCTGACACGCATGCCCTGTTCCATTGCCTCTGTCTCAGTTTGTCCTACATGCTGTGACCACCCCTGTTCCTGTCTTCTATCTCTAGATAGAGCATGGAGGTCCATCAAGCCCCGCACTCAGCAGACCCAAATGATGGGATAGGGAGGGCTGACTCCCTGGGTACCAATACCTGACTCCTGGGAATCTGAGTGAGCCAAGAGCACTCTGGGAGCAGGTTCCTTCCTCTGTCTAGTTTCACTGTAGTCATGGATGAGGATCACAAGTTCTGTGCAGTGTCAAGATTAGGTGTTTGTTTGGCATTGCTGGTGGCGCATGAAATGTTGGCCTGGGTAGTGTAGAACTGGACAATGCCTTGCTGTGTGACACTAGGCAGGTGGAGTCCCCTCTCTGGGTTTTGGTTTGTTTGTCCACTGTGTTAAGGGGAGTCCAGAGACATGGTTTCTGCTCTTTGCAACTAGCTGAGCTGTCTTATCAGGTAGGGTCGATCTGGGCAAGGATAGGGTGAGGCAGATGGAGACATTTGGACTTTAGCTGGGAGGAAGTGGGAGCCTCAAGGAATACTGGAGACTCTCCCCATCAGAGTTGAGCCTGACCACATGAGGGGCGAGCCTTGTTCAATGACTGACCAAGCAAATCCAAGTGAATGTGTCAGCTAATGATGGAATTACTGGAAGTAATAATAGGGACAGGGGAATCAGGGAGGGTTTCCAGGGGAGCAATATAGATGAACCTTGAAGGGTGAGTAGGAGTTTGTCAGGCAGAAGTCCTAAGCGAGAAACCGCTGTTGGGGAAGGCGAGCGTCCTTCCTGAGTAACTCCTCTAGGAGGTCTCATCCACGCATGGCCTCCCTTGGTGTCCCGCCCCAGGCCCTTGTGTATGGTGCTGATGAGTGTACTGGTACTGGGACTGCTCTTCATGGCCATCCACAGCCTGTCTCATGCGGAGATCACCTATGACCCCCTCTATGCTGGTAAGTCATTAGGGGTGGTGGGGAGCGGGGCTGTCCGGGAAAAGGCCTCCACTCTAGACTTGGCACCAACCAAGGACCTCAAGCAGTCTTTGAAGGATGCCCATTAAACTGTGGAACTCAGAGTGCCTGAAACACCATCAGACTGGAAAACTTCAAAAGGCCTCCTCTTTCAGAGTTGGAACTGCAGAGAGAAACAATTATGTCTCCCCCATCAGACTAGGTCCTCCCCAGCACTCTCGTGGCCCAGCCTGACCTTAAACTCCTGATTTCCTGCCTCTGTCATCTGAGTGCTGAGTGCAGTGATATCAAGAGCACCTTGTCAGGCTCAGCCAGAGCAGGGGCTTCCGAGGCCTTGCCTGTGCCGCCTCCTTCATACCTGTAGAATTTCTATTATGGATTGTCTGGGCCTGGAGCCTTGCCAGATCACCTCGCCCTGGACCTGATGTTTCAAGTCCAGTTTTTTGTTTGTTTGTTTGTTTGTTTGTTTTTCCCAGACAGTGTTTCTGTGTAGCTTTCAAACCTATCCTGGAACTCACCCTGTAGACTAGACTGGCCTTGAACTCCCAGAGAGCCACCTACTTCTGCCTCCCGAGTGCTGGGATTAAGGGTATATGCCACCACTGCCCAGCTTCAAGACCAGTTTTAAGTTAAACTAAAAGTTAGGTGTGGTGCTGTGTGCTTGTAATTCCAGTAGTTGGGAAGCTGCAGCAGGAAGACTGCCATTTGTTCAGGGGCAGCCTGTGCTACAGACTCATACCCTGTGTCAAAAGAACAGAACCTGAGGTTGCGCAGGCTCAAACTGCCCTGTGCTGGCTTCGGCCACAGGCACACTGAGCCCTCGTCCTGCCCGTGTCAGCCCTGAGCACCTGCTCAGTCCCACCCACTCTCCCCAGTCTTTGCGACCCTCGCCTTCACTTCGGTGGTGGACCTTATCATTGCACTCCAAGAAGATGGCTACGTGATGGGCTTTACGGATTTCTACACCAGGGAGGTAGGTAGTGGCTACCAAGAGCAGGGCGGCTGGGGGTGGTCCTGGCCCCATCATGCCAGCTCCGGAGCCCCATTTGTGCCCACAGGGTGAGCCCTACCTGCGCACAGCACACGGCATCTTCATCTGCTACTGGGACGGCACTGTGCACTACCTGCTCTATCTGGCCATGGCCGGTGCCATCCGCAAAAGGTGAGGGACACCGGACACTGGGAACCCAGGAGGACGTTATTCCTCAGGCGGGTCCCGGGTCACTGGGGAGCCAGGAGTGTTTGAGAAGGGGTATGGGATGATCACATATGGATGACTAGACGTTTCCAGAGACTGTCAACAGGTGTGGCTAGCTGTAGACCCACATCTGGACCACTGGTACCATTCCCAGTGCTGAGGTGCCATCCTAGCACATACTGAGCATGCTCAGGACCCACATTCCATCTGCAGTTACCATAAATAAATAAAGCCCAAGAGGAACCCAACTGAAAAGCCAAGGCCCTGCAGGGCCTTGGAGTTGGGGGTTAAGCCCACAGCTACCCCTCTATCACTTCCCAGGAAGAGGTACCGGAACCTTGGGCTCTACTGGCTGGGCTCCTTCGCCATGAGCCTCCTGGTGTTCCTCCCGGGAAACATCCTTGGTAAGGACACCCCTCCATGTGTCTGAAGACCCAACAGCCTCATGCTTTGGCCAGCAGCCAAGACTCCCTCCATTCCCTTTCCTCGTGGAAGCGATGGGGAGATGGCATTAATCCTGCTTCCTCTCCAGGCTACCAGTCCGTGATGTCATCGTCTTTCCGCATGCTCTTCACACAGGAAGGGAGTTTTAGGGTGGGTCCTGGGGGCAGAGTGAAAGCTTGTTAAGTAGGTCTTTGGAGGTAGGGGCGGATTCCCAAGTCCCAGTGTTGTTCCCAGTGTCCCAGTAAATGCTAAGCAAGGAGACCTACTGGATGGGAAGCAAAGATTCTCACAAGCGTCAGGTCTGTATTTAGAGTAAACTCAGTCAGGCCAGGGCAAGGAGCATGCTGGGGAGCCACAGAGCATAGGAGAGCTTGAGCAAGAACAGCGTAACTCAGGATGTCCAGGCGGGGCTTCTGCTTGGCCCAGCTGTCATGAGAAATCTCCCTGAGTCACACGCTCTCCCTGTCCTGGAAGGTAAATACAGTTCGGAGATCAGACCTGCCTTCTTCCTCACCATCCTGTACATGCTGGTCCCATGCTGGGCTGGTGTGAGAATCTTCAGCCAGTCCCGTACACCAACCTCCTACACCCCTGACATGGTGAGTGCCCCTCCACACCCCGCTAGTGAATGGCTTTGGACCAAAGGCTTTGTGTGGAGCTAGGCATGGCGGCCCACGCCTATCATACCAGCACTGGGGAGATGAGGCAGTTACATGAGTTCAAGGCCAGCATGGGTTTTTATGGTAAGACTGTCTCAAAACTCCAAGGACTAAAATGTGACTCAACGTGAGGGCTCAGGGGTGGAACCCTTGCTCGACCTCCACAAGCTCAAGAGCGAATGACTGTCTACTTGGGAGAGATAGAGAGGAGCACGTGCTGGACCCCAGGCCTCTCTGGCTAGCTCCGGCTTCCTCTCAATGGGGCAGGTCCAGGAGGAGCAGAAAAAAGGCCTCCTACAGCGCCCAGCTGACCTGATGCTCATCTTGTACCTCGTTCTTGCTGCATTCTTCGCTCTCTTCCGGGGCCTGGTGAGTCCGCCTTGGCTGCCTCCCTCCTTCACCTCCAGTCACCCTCCTCAGCCTTCGCCCAAATTTACTTCCTTATTCATTGCCAAAAGAACAGCCCTTCTCTGATACCCCGGGTAGCTCTTCACCAAGTCCAACCTGAAGGGCTGTTGACAGATGCCTGTTCCCCACAGCCTTTTCTCAGCTCCCTTACCATGAATCCACAACCAAAGGGAGCGAGCTAGGGAGGGCTGAGACGCCCAGGGGGACTGGTGTGGGCTTGGGTTGAGAGCTGGAGTGGGGAGGAATCTTGCAAGAGCCATAAGATGGATGGTGATTATCTGTGTGTCTTAGGTGGTACTTGACTGCCCCACAGACGCCTGTTTCATCTATACTTACCAATATGAGCCATACCTGCGGGACCCAGTGGCCTACCCAAAGTGGCAGGTAAGAGGACACGTGGGAGAAGGCTGTGGCCCTGCCCTTCTCTGAAGCTGCTGCCTGAAGTCCACGCCAGCCAGGCAGATGCACACGTAGGCTTCGGGTGTGGCATGATCCAGGTGTTCAACATGTGTCTTGGCTGTGCTGTCTCAGTAAGGCTCTCTTGCCATGCCCCAGAAGCACACTGGGGTTTCATTCACCCCTGTGCAAACCCTGGGATTTAAGGACATGCTTCATTGAGGCTCTGATTAGCCCAGCCTGAATCGCATGCCCTGTCAATCGTATCAGCATTGGAAATAGGGTGTTCCAATTTGCCAGGTCAGAGTCCTGCACCATCTCGGCAGGAGCCCCACAGAGACCCCAGCCTGTGTCCTGCGTTCTCACAGCCTGTGGTTTCCCCTAGATGCTGATGTATTTGTTCTATGCTCTGCCTTTCTACTGCCTGGCTACCTATGCCCTCACCTTCCCTGGCTGCTCCTGGCTGCCGGACTGGGCCTTGGTGTTCGCCGGAGCCATTGGGCAGGTAAGGGGTGGGGTAGTGATGATGGACGCCAGGCCCAGTGATTCAGAATTCCCTAACCTGAAGGAGATGGCTGGATGCACATGACCCCTAGTCCACAGGTAGCTCCAAGTCCCCTAGTCAGAGCTAGAAAGAACCATGTTGGGTTATGGCTCCGTGGTACAGTGCTTGTCCAGCATGTGCAAGCGCATGCCTTCATTCCCCAGCACTGGAAACACACAACCGAATGAGTGGGCGTTGGTGGCGCACACCTTTAACCCCGGCGCTTGGGAGGCAGAGGCAGGAGGATCTCTGTGAGTTCTAGGTCAGCCTGGTCTACAAAGCCAGTGCTGTTAAACAGAGAAACCCTGATTTGAAAAACCAAACGAGGCCGGGCGTTGGTGGCGCATGCCTTTAATCCCAGCACTCGGGAGGCAGAGGCAGGCAGATCTCTGTGAGTTCGAGACCAGCCTGGTCTACAGAGCGAGTTCCAGGACAGCCTCCAAAACAATACAGAGAAACCCTGTCTCGAAAAACCAAAAAAAAAAAAAAACAAACAAAAAAACAAAAGAAAAAAGAAAAACCAAACGAAAAACTGAGGCTGGAGAGATGGCTCAGAGTTTAAGAACACTGGCTGCTCTTCCAGAGGTCCTGAGTTCAATTCCCAGCACCCACATGGTGGCTCACAGCCATCTGCAATGAAATCTGGTGTCCTCTTCTGGCCTGCAGGCAAATATGCAAACAGAACACTGTATATGTAATAAAAATAAGTAAATAAGTTAAAAAAACAACAAAAAATACCACAAAACTAACAGACAGAACCTGGAAGGAAGCGGGGGAAGGGGCTAAGAAGGGTTGCAGAGTGGGAAGATTTCCTATGAAGCGAAGGGCATCCGTGGACAGAAACAGCGTAGGAAGGCAGGGAAGAGGACATCAAGGGACAGAGATGAAAACAAGCTGGATGCTGGAGACTGAACTCTGGGCTCTGGGCATGGAGGGGAGGCGGGGAGCAATGGGAGTGCTTGAGCACTGGAGGGGCCACAGCTATTTCTGGGGCTTTGGTAGGAAGAGAAAAAGCCTAGATTCAGTCCAGGCAGGGGGACCCCGAAGTCTCTGCAAGTCCGTAACACTTTGAGGAGAAAGGATGGGATCCAGGTTGGAGGCAGGGATGTTCAATGCTACACAGTTGTTTAGGGAAGGAAGACATGGCGGTGGGGCAGTGGGCATTGCCTGAGGGCTCCGCCTGACCTGCCACCCTCCCTGTGTCCTTGCCAGGCGCAGTTCTCACACATGGGTGCCTCCATGCACCTGCGCACACCCTTCACTTACCGCGTGCCCGAGGACGCCTGGACGGCCTTCTTCCTGAGCAACATGCTGTTTGCACTGGGTCCGCACCTGCTAGCTTTCCGCTGCCTCTGGAGGCCTGCCTTCTTCTTGCAGGCGCCGCCCTCGGCTTCTGAGAGCCAAGGCAAGAAGCAGCAGTGAGCATGCGCAGGAAACCCACGACAAGATGTTCTTGCTATGTCACTAAAGTCTAGAAGGACCCTAATGCCCTCCCCTGGATTTTACCCCCCCATCCCTTTAATAAAAGCATTTTTGATGTCTAGGACATCACTGTCTGAGTGTTTCGGGGAGCTGGAGCAAGGGGTCATCCTCTTGTACCCATGAGGGAAGGGTGGGGTGCTCACAGCCATTGTGGCTGCCCGGAGTCAGAGGGGCCAGGACACTCACAGTCAGCCTCTCAGTGGAATGCACAACTCCATGTCCCCTGACACTCAGAAGGATTGAGGTCACACTGGGGAGGCTCCGGCACCACAGGGGCTGTGGATGCCACCGTTGGTAAAGTGCTCTTGGAGCTGGAACCAATAAGGGCCCTGGGTGCACTACATTATTGGGTGTGGCGGGCACACCTGCCATCCTAGCACCGGGAGGTAGAGGCAGGAGGGTCAGGAGCACAGGATCATCCGTGGGCACAAAGCAAGCTGGAAAGCAGCCTGGACTACACTCTCAGTCTGCACACATAAAAGGGTCGGGGCAATGTGTCAGTCAGCGAAGTACGTAAGAACTCTATTCCAAATCCCCAATACCCTCATAGAAGCCACGGCTGTGGCGGCCATATAAGGGACTGGCCAACACTGGGATAAGGGAGTGAAGGAAGACTCTCCAGAGCTCACTGGCCAGCCAGCTCCAGGTTCAGTGAGATACCTTGCTCCAAATCAGGTAGAAGCTGGGGGTGGTGGCACACGCCGTTAGTCCCAGCACTTAGGAGGCAGAGGCAGGCAGGTCTCTGTGAGTTCCAGACCAGTCTGGTTTATACAGGGAGCTCCAGGCCAGTCAGGGTTGTTTCAAACACACAAATAAAAGGCTGAGGGTGAGGAAGACAGGTACCCAGGCACATCTGAATTAGGGACGGGGCTCACTTTCCAGGACAACTGAGGCTAGCTAGGCAACAAATGATTGGAAAGGGTTCTCAATTTCCTGTTCTTTAGTCTAGAAACTGGGTGAAGAGGGGAGCTTAGGAGTGACTGGGGCCCAGTAGTCTCTGGCCAGGTTTCTGGTGAAAACCCAGTCATTGCCTGGAGACCCACCCAGGCTGAGAGGTCTCCCAGAGTAACACAGCCAGCGAGGACAAGATCTTGGACCTGTTCCTCGGAGTCCCTGTGCTGGAATATGATTTATGAGAACATTCACAGCTCTAGTGTCTGCTGGAGCCCAAGTTTCCAGAATGGCTACCCAGTGAGCAGATGGACAACAGGCTGGCAGGCAGAACTTCCTCCTTCCTCCTCCTCCTCCTCCTCTTTTTTTTTTTTTTTTTTTGAGGCAGGGTTTCTCTGTGGCTTTGGAGTCTGTCCTGGAACTAGCTATTGTAGACCAGGGTGGTCTCAAACTCAGAGATCCGCCTGCCTTTGTCTCCCGAGTGCTGGGATTAAAGGCCTGCGCCATCACCACCTGGCCAGGAAAAACCTCTTAACGAAGCCACTGCTCCTGCCAGTGCACGGAAGACCTAAGTTTATCAGCTTACTCCATTCTATCATTTCAGAAAACTGATACAGGGTCTGGATATGGAGCCCAGGCTAGTCTCCTGCCTCAGCATCCTAAGTGCTGGGAACACAGCCTGTGCCACCATGCCTGGCTCTCCCATGTGTTTGTTTGTTCTGTGTTTTGAGGTCTTTGTGTAGCTCTGACTGTCCTGGAACTCACTCTGTATATGATAAGGTCTTACGTAGCCCAAGCCTTAAATTCCCAATGTAGTGTAAGGTAACTTCTCCCCAAATTTGATTTTTTGAAACAGGGTCTCACTATTTAATTCTGGCTGTCACCTGTAGACCAGGCTAGCCTCCAACTCATAGAAATCCCAAGTGCTGTGTGCCACCTCAACAGCACCAAATGTGTAGCCCAGGCTGGCTTGAAACTCATGATCCTCCTGCCTCCGCCTCTATAGCATATCTTACCAACATGCACCAGTACAACTGGCCCAAGATGACTTTGAACTCCTAATCCTTCTGCTTCAGCCTCCCCAGTGCTGAGATTCAGGTATGTACCACTACTGTTGCTATATGACGACAGAGATGAAACCCAGGACCTCATGCATGCAAGGTGAGCCCTCCTCCAACTGAGCCTCAGCCCCAGGACCAGCATGGCCAGGCTAGTCTCAGACTTGCTGAGGTTTCCGTCTATGGCTCCAATCCCGTGTCCCTCTTTCCTTTTTCCGTCTCCCCCATGCTGGACTGAGACTTGATACACAGCAGAAGATGACTTTGAACTGCTGATTCTCCTCCTCCCCCCGGAGTACTTGGGTAACAGTCCTGAGTCACCACCATAAAATGAAGTGTGTATGGGGCTGCAGGAAGGGTGGTGGACTTAGATTTCCCTGCGCTGGCAGAAACTGGGAGACTTGGTTAAGGAACTTGGCCAGCCCGCAGTAGTGGCGCACACCTTTAATCCCAGCAATGGGGAAGCAGAGGTAGGGGGATCTCTGTGAGTTGGAGGCCAGCCTGGTCTACAGAGTGAGTTCCAGGACAGCCAGGGCTGGTACACAGAGAAACCCTGTCCAAAAAAAAAAAAAAAAAAAAAAAAGTGGGGGGGGCGGGGCTTGGCGAGCCAGCCTCGGTTTACCTATCTGCTCACTGGGTGATTGTATCCTTCATATTCCTTTGCAGCCACACCAGTCGTGGAGTGCAAACTGGGCCTGCGAGACTCCTCCACTGGCTAAGGTAGTCCTCGTGGCTGGGAGGTCGCGACGTCGCCGTGTTCCCAGCTCAGCGGCGCCTGGGCTGCCCCTCCCCCTCCCCAACTCCGTGCGGTGAACACGGCTCCTTTAAAGCCCCGCGCGTCCTCCTCCCCTTGCAGGCAGACGCCGGGATTGCACGGACCGCGGGACCGGCTAGCCGGAACGTTGTGCGCCTGCGCAGTCGGGAAGCGCAGGGGCCGCTCGGCGGGGGCCGCAACCAGGATGGTGAGTGCTGTGCTGCACTGGGCTCCTGATCTCTCCTGCTCTCCTGTGTCTCTGTTTCTCTCCTCCTCCTCCTCTTGTTTTCCTCTTGCCTCCTCTTTCTCGTTCTTCGGTACTTTCCCCTTCTCTGCCCCCCGATGTCTACCCTTTATTTGGAGGGGGAGAGTGCTCACTTTTTCTTTTTCCTGTCTCTACCCACCAGCCTCTCCTTCCTCTGAGTCTCGGTCTTTCTCTGCGTCTTTGTCTCTGGGTCTCCATCTCTATGTCTCTGTCTGTGTTTATCTCTAGGTTTCTGTCTCTTTCTCTGAATTTCTGACTCTGTGTCCCTGTCTCCGCGTCTCTGATCCTGTCTCTGTCTCTGGGTCTCTCCGTCTCTACCTCTCTGTCTCTCTCGGCCTGGCTCAGTCGCCAGATGTTCCCCCCTCCTCCCGTGCCCGTCCCGCTGCCCCCGGTCCCCCATCCCCCCACTCCGCCGGGCTTGCTGCAGTCTCCTGGCGCGCGGATAACCTTGCGGCCACGATGCGGGCAGCTGCTCCCCCTCCGCCTTGCGCTCCGGTAGCGGGGGTGGGGACATGGGGGAGGGCAAGAGGAGTCACCTGACGCTCGGACAGCACCGAGGCTGAGACCCCTTTGGGGAGGGCAGGACGAGCTGCGGAGGGTCGGGACGGTACAGCTGGACGCAGCTCCTGTGCCCGTAGGCGTGCGCTCCGGCGGCCCTCGGTCCCCGCGCGCTCTGGGCGGTTGCCTGGGGACTCCTCCTGCTGGTCCCCGTGCCTGCCGGGGCGCAGCGTGGCAGGAAGAAAGTCGTGCACGTGCTGGGTGAGTCTTGTGCGGTCCCGTCCCCCGGTCCCCCCCAAGAGCGAAGGACGCGGGTCGGTGGGGTGGTGGGTTGCCGTGGTCCCCAACACTCAGTCTCGTCGGAGCTCCTTTCCTTTCCTATCGTAGACCTACATCCCTTCTCTGGGTCCCCCCACTATCGCACCTTTGATCCCTGATTGGTCGCCCCGCAGAGGGCGAGTCCGGCTCCGTGGTGGTGCAGACGGCGCCCGGGCAGGTGGTGAGCCACCGCGGGGGCACCATCGTCTTACCCTGCCGTTACCGTTACGAGGCGGCCGCCCACGGCCACGACGGCGTCCGCCTCAAGTGGACCAAGGTCGTAGACCCTTTGGCCTTCGCCGATGTCTTCGTGGCTCTGGGTCCCCAGCACCGAGCCTTCGGCCCTTACCGAGGGCGGGCCGAGCTGCAGAACGACGGGCCCGGGGACGCCTCCTTGGTCCTCCGAAATGTCACCCTGCAGGACTACGGACGCTACGAGTGCGAGGTCACCAATGAGCTAGAGGATGACGCCGGCATGGTCAAGCTGGACCTGGAAGGTGACTGAAGCTTGGGCAGAGGAGATTGGGGGACAGTGTGGGGCAAACCGAATCAAGTTGGCACAGTAGAGGTTTTATTGGGTAGGGAAATAGTTCGTCTAAAAATACTTATTACAGCTTTTGTTTCTATGTCTGTGTTTGAATGTGTGTGCATGTGGTCAAGGCATCTTAGGTCCCCTGGAGCTGGAGTTACAGGTGGTTGTGAACCGCCTGATGTTGATGTGGGGAAACTCTCATCGCCCTTTGAAAGAGATCTCTCTGAGTTCAATGCCAGCCTGGTCTACCAAGCTAGTTCCAGTACAGTCTCTCTACACAGAAAGACACTGTCTCAAAAAGCAAATAAACACTTCTTACGTCGGGTTTTGAAGAATGAATGGAATAACGGAGGGTGGGAAAGGGTAGGAAAAACATAAGGTCTCTAACCGCAGAAGAGTAGGCATGAGTAAGCCTGTTAGGGAGAGGGGACAAGCCCCAAGTGAAAACCGAAGGACCATAATGCATGCGAGCTGGCCAGAAGTGTGCTCGTGTCCGAGAGAGAGGACTGAATGTTCTGTTCATGTAAGAGCATGAAAACCCGGCCTACCCGACAGACTCCCATCCGTTTTCACCCAGGAGTGGTCTTCCCCTATCACCCGAGTGGAGGCCGCTACAAGATGACTTTCGTGGAAGCGCAGCGCGCTTGCGCTGAGCAGGACGGCATTCTGGCATCGGCCGAGCAGCTGCACGCAGCGTGGCGGGATGGCCTAGACTGGTGCAGCGCCGGATGGCTGCGGGATGGCTCCGTGCAGTACCCAGTGAGCCAGGCCCGGGAGCCCTGCGGCGGGGCTGGGAGCCCTGGGGCCGCTGGGGGCACCAACGGGGGCGTGCGCAACTATGGCTATCGCCACAACGCTGAGGAACGATATGATGCCTTCTGCTTCACGTCCAACCTCCCTGGTGAGTCCTTTCCTCCAAGAAGAAGAGCTTAAGCCCCGACCTCTGGAAGGATACTTGACCAGAGTCTAGGCCTGTCTCTGAAGTGAGGCTCCACCCATAAATATCTAGGCTCTACCCCTTGAAGGGAGCCCTTCCCTCTTTCCTCCCTCCTATGTGTTATTCCCTCTCCCTGGAAGGAGGCCACCCCTCAAGTTCAAAGGACCCCTCCCTGAAGGCCTGCCTCACATGGATAGGCCCTGATGCTTGGAGGGTGGTCCCACTCCTGAGTGCACAGGCCCAGTTCCTAGAAGAAGGTCCGCCCCAAGCGCATATGCCCTGCCCTCTAGAAGGAAACCCACCCCAGGTGCTTAGTCTCCAATCCCTAGAAGACTGGCCCTAACCACCTAGTCATAGCGCCTGGCAGATGGAGGGAAGTTTGTCTCAGACACATGGACAAGAGCATAGGTCTCATCCCTGTAAAGACCCCCCACACACACACACACAGAATAGGCTCCGCCACAAGGAGACCTTTTCCATCTCATAGTCCCCGACCCCTGGAGGAAGGCCTGACCGAAATGCGTAGGGCCTACCTTGTGGTTGGAGGCCCGCTTCAAGAGTGTAGACCCTGCCCGCAAGAACACAGATCCTCCGCCTAAGGCTACTGGCGAAAACCCTCCCAAACGTAGGTACCGGCCCAAATAGGAGGGCTGCCCAGCGGACCGAGGGACAGAGATCGCCCTGAAGTGCACGCCTCCTGCCTCCAAGAGCATCAGCCCCGCCCCTATGTGACCAGCCCCCCCCCCTTCCCCTGCGCTACTAGGAAGGAGACTTCCCAGGGCTGCCACAGGGGGGCAGTGAAATGCCACATGGCGCGGGCATCGCACTGGCAGAAGCAGATGGCAGGGAATGGGATGGACCCGCAGCTGGGAGTTCCCGGCTTCCGCAGTCCGGCGGGCCCAGCCCCGGCCCCATGCTGACACACCCCCGGGTCCCGCAGGTCGCGTGTTCTTCCTGAAGCCTCTGCGGCCGGTGGCCTTGGCCGGGGCGGCTCGGGCTTGCGCAGCTCGGGGTGCCACGGTGGCCAAGGTTGGGCAGCTGTTCGCCGCGTGGAAGCTGCAGCTGTTGGACCGCTGCACTGCAGGCTGGCTGGCCGATGGCAGCGCGCGCTACCCCATCGTGAATCCGCGCACTCGCTGCGGGGGCCCCCGGCCGGGCGTGCGCAGCCTCGGTTTCCCGGACGCCTCCCGACGCCTCTTCGGCGTCTACTGCTACCGTGCTCCAGGTGCCCCAGACCCGGCCCCAGGAGGCTGGGGCTGGGGCTGGGCCGGCGGAGGAGGTTGGGCAGGAGGATCAAGGGACCCAGCTGCCTGGACCCCGCTGCGTGTCTAGAACCATGAGAACGGGCGTTTGTGGATGTTGATGGCTGAACCAGGGGCTCTGCACACCCCCTGGAGACAGACTACTCACCAGGAATCCCTTGGATACATGACAGCCTGTGGGGCATTGCAGGCTAACTCAGCTACCTATGGTCTTTGGACACTGACCACACCTCCTGAGGTCTGGATACATGACTTACCCCTGCAGTGCGCTGCAAGCTGACACACCTGTTGTGTCCTTGGCCGTTGACTGTGCCGCCTTCTGAGAGACTCTGACAGTGGCCAAGCCCACTTCTTTGGATAGTGGATGTCCCGTCTTCCAGACTTTGTCTAGAAGAGCCATGCTCTCCCCCAACCCCCAGGGTCCCAATACACCAGCAGGACCCCCACGGTTTCTGTGGCCCTCTGGAAAACAGTCCCCCTCAGTCACCTGGAGGCTGGACCCCCAGGATTAGCTGGAGACTGGCCACACAAGCCCTGTATATCCCAGGAGATGGACACTGGTCTTGGACAGTCAGCTAGCTGTCCATTGAAACAGAAAACTGTGTATGGGTCACAAGGTGACCGTGCCCTGTGCCGGCAGGTGACCCAGAGACTCCGTATTCCCACTCTTCCAGAGAGTCCTTATAAGTTTCCAAGGTAACATGCCTTGTCCCCAGTCACTATGGAGGACAGCCCCAACACCTTTGGCTTTATGGGAGAATGTCCCCAGCTGGCTCCCAGGAACAGTGGCCATGCCTACCCCTCAGGTATTTCTCTGGCCAGAGAGTAGACTCACCTGAATGCCCCTTCCCAGGCTCCTTGGGGCTGTCACCAAAGAGATCATTCCCGCAACCTCAAAAGCCCTGAAGTTCTCACTTGCCATAGAGACATGCTGCTCGGCTTCTTAAGATAACCAAGGCCGCTAGTGCAGCTTTACCTGTCCTCTGACTAGCGCACCCGTCGAGATGGCACATCCTGCTTTCCTCTGTAACCATGGATACCACACTTCCTTTCCTCTGGCCTAGAGACCAGACACCTGCCACTCCATTTCTGCCTGTCCCCACCCTGATGAACCACTATGGAGACTGTCTTCCCCCGCTGAATGTCCTCAGGGTGACCCAGCATTAATCTCCATGGAAACAAGCTGCCCCTTTCCCAAGGTGCACCTCCAGCTCTTCTCAGCTGTCTAAGTCCCGCCCCCAGACAGCTTAGATCTCACAGCTGTTGCCATGGAGACCAAACTCTGGTGTCCAAGGTAACAACACCTGTCCCTCCAAGGCTTTCCCTCTAGGGTCCGGTCCTGCTCAGCTGTCTCCATAGAAACCATCACTGTCTCCTTGACAACTGACCTGCAGCTCTCAGGAACTTCTTGCCATGGTCAGAGAACCTCTGAGTGAGCTGCCTACTGTGTTCCTCAGGGGCCTGATGAATGTTTTGTTCAGATGGGCCCAAACAGGTCTCTGCTTCTGGAGCAGCTGGCTGCCACCATTCATTTGCACGCTAACTCTGTTTCAGGCAGCCGCTGGGCCCAAGCCACCACTGCAACCCCAGCCATCATTTTAAATTATCACCCTGCAGGTGGGGAAACTGAGGTTGTGGCACTGCACACGGCCAGAGCTTTTCTTCCTTGGAGATCAAGGAGGGTGGACTGTCTAATTCAGTTTCTGAGGGCCCGTGTGTGCTCAAGGGTCAGGACCAGCATCCAAAGACATCCACAGACAGAGCCATCCCAGACGCAGGAGCTCCCAGCTCTGAGGTGCTGCTTGGAAGCAAGTGCCCTTGCCGGCACCCTCCTGCCTGTCCCATCCATCTCTGCAAACCCACCTTTGAGTGAGGAAGCTGTGGGCTCCAGCCGCAATTTTTGTTGTAAAATGTTTGACCAAGTGACAGAATTTGCCCAGGCTGTTTTCTTCTCTGGGCCAGGATTGTGCTGAGGTCCCACAATGCAGCCTGCAGCTCGTGTTCAATAAACCTTTGTTCCTTTGGATGAATGAGAAACAAGGCTGCTGTGCTCCTCTCTCGTTGGTGCAGTGGGCTCCTCAGGCCAGGCTGGGAAGCAGCTCCCATTCTGCTTCCCCCCACACCCCAACATAGAAAGGAGAGCAGTTTACCAGGTGTCAAGACCTATGACATACTCTCTGACCTCCAAGTGCATTGTGGGTGTGTGCAGAACAATAATTCTGTGATTTTAAATGTGTTCAGTCTTGATCTGGTTGTTGCATTTGCGGTAGCCATCTATAGATTTTACTTAAAATGTCTGTGTGTTTTGTCCGCCCTACTTATGTTCCTGGTGCCCCTAGAGGCCTGAAGAAGTTGGATCCCTAAAACTAGAGTTATGGATGGTGTGGCTTGAGCCTCGGTCCTCTGCAAGAGCAGCCAGTGCTCTTAGTCACTGAGCCATCTCTCCTGCAGCCCCTAATTTTTATCTGTAAACTATTTATTCACTTTTTTGTAATTTATTTATCTTTGCTTTGTGTGCACTGGTGTTTTGTCTGCGTGTATGTCTGTGTGAGGGAGGCAGATCCAGACAGTTGTGAGCTGCCATGTGGGTGCTGGGAATTGAACCCAAGTGCTCTGGAAAAGCTGTCCATGCTCTTAACAGCTGAGTTTGCTTTGTCTTTTCTTTTTTGGTTTTCGAGACAGGGTCTCTCTGTAGCCCTGGCTGTCCTGGAACGCACTCTGTAGACCAGGCTGGCCTCACCTGCCTGTGCTGGGATGAGAGGCGTGCGCCACCACCACCTAGCTCTTTTGTTCTTTTCTCTGTATCCCTGGCTGGGTTCACAATCTTAGCCATTACTCATCGGACTGAAGTAGGAAGATTTCTGTGAACTCCAGACCAGCCTGGGCTTCAGCGAAGACAACCACCAGTCAGTCAGAAGTCCTCTGACTGGCAGGCAGGCAGGCAGTGCGCACCTGCCCTTCCCCAGCGGGCAGAGCTAGCACTGTCTTCCTTTCCTGCTTTAGGGTCGCATGGGGCCCACACCCGTCTCCCTGCCAGAGCCTCAGGAGTGCTGGGGCCAGGGGATGTCTGTGAGACATGTGTGTCGGTCACGTTTCTTCTGTGACAAGATGCTGCCAGAGCAAGTCAAGCGAGGAAGGGTTTATTAGACTCTCAGTTCAAAGACACAGTCTGTCGCAGTGGGATGTCGCCATGGCAGGAACATGAGGCCTGGGTCCCATGTGCCCTAGTAAGGAAGCAGTGGTCAATGCTGCCCCTCCCCCGTCTGTTTCTCCTTTTTCACATTAGTTTGGTTTTGTTGGTAACATTTCTTACTTCATCCGGGGAGGGGAGGACTCAGTCCCTGGTCCCCTTGTGGTTCTCTGCTTCTACCTGTGGTCCAGGGATAACTACAGGCTCCAGGCTTAGCCACCAGAGATCCATCTTGCCAGACCCTCACTGATATTCTCAGACAACTCACTCACCATTTTTCAGGGTGACTTCAGTCTCTTCTCTGCCCACCCCCTCACAGGTCTGGTTCGTGCTGTGACTCCACCCTCCTTGCCTGGCTCTGGGTGGCATACTCCTGGGAGGCTGGTGCAGGGAGAACGGGAGTTCAGAGCCAGCCTGGGACACTTAGTGAGACTCTGTTAAACTAGCTAAATAAACCAATAAAGAGGAGGATGTGTCTTCTCTTTCCTCTGCCATTCCCTGCTTCCCCTCTGCACACGGCACAGCGCACAGCTTGTGACACAGCTCGGCAGTGGCTGTGGCCCATCTGGGGCAGAGTGCGCTCCTAACATTCACAAAGCCAAACATGGCAGTGTGCGCCTTTAATCTCAGCACCCCGAAGGCAGAGAGAGGTGGATCTCTGTGAGTTCAAGGCCAGCCTGCTCTGCTCTACATAGACAAACCATGTTTCCAACAACAACAACAAAAACAAAACAAAACCAGTAAGGTCAATTCTGGGCAACAAGAGTCATTACTGCAAAGAAACACAGGTGCTCAGTGAATAATATCACACAGGTGACTGGATGAGAAACACAGGTGCTCAGTGAATAATATCACACAGGTGACTGGATGAGAAACAGTCCGAGAGGGCCACAGCAAGATAAACTGTTAAAAATTTTTATTAAAATGTCTAAGAAGTACATTAACGTCCACAGTGTCATATACCACAGATCCACGGAACATCAAAGCTCCAAGAAAAAAAAAAACAGCAGAACCTGTAGCCAATCACGCACACACTCCTGCCACACACGACCCATGGAGGGAAAGAGCTGAAGACAGTCTCCACTCCAGAAAAGCCCAAAGCCCCTCAGTTCATGGTGCAGGAATGGGGCAGGGAGGGAGCAGCCACTGAGCCTCGGCAGGCCACACCCAGCAGGCCATGGCCACCAGCCTGGGGATTGCTGTGAGCTGGCTAACGCTTTCCTCCCTTCTGAACCTAGAAATGTTTCTAAGAGACTGATGTGGTCCCAGCTTCCCAGCCACAGTCAGAGCAGACAGCAGCTGTCTGCAGCAGGGGCCACGAGGTATCAGGTCCACTTTGCTGTTGTTAACCATTTCCCAAGCTTACGTGTGTGTGCGTGTGTGTGTGTGTGTGTGTGTGTGTGTGTGTGTGCGCGCGCGCGCGCGCCTGTGTGTGCGTGTGTGCGCGCGCACACATGCACCACATTCAGGTAAAGAGATTTCAGTCTCTTACCCCATACACAAAGCAAAGTTTGGAACACAAATCAGGACCAGGATTTGGGAATGGGCTGAGTTGGTAGTGTCTGTAGCTTAACCGGTAGAGCTCTTGGAGCTCAGTGGGTAGAGCGCCGTAGCTCCATTGATATGCACAAGGTTCTGGGTTCTGTCCCCGATACTGTATTGGAGCACACCTCTCATTCCAGCACTTGGGAAACTGAGGCAGGACAATCAGGAGTTTAAGGTCATCCTCAGCTACACAGTAAATTCAAGACCGGCCTGAGACGCGTGAGGCCCTGTCTACAAAACAAAACCACCTTACACTAACTGCAATGCGCAGAACAAAATCCTTCTGTCTTTAACCTTCTCTTCCTCTCCTACTGTAACCTCACGCCCTCCCTGTGTGAAACAGGAGCCTAAGGGCCGCCTGGGCTGCTGAGAGGATTGGAAGGCCCAACACAAAGACTTAGGTGGCTTCTGCTCAGTGACTGCCCCAGGCTTTCATCACCTTCTAGGAGGGACGCAGGATCTCAGCTCTGTCCACACTGACCCTTTGGGTAGCCAGACACACACTTAGGAAGACCTGGGGATGGCACAAGGACCTTGTGCAGGTCTGGCGAGCATGCATCCGTGCGCTGCCCCCCCACTCACCAACTCCCTCACATTCTTACTTATTTTGTGCTTGTGCAGTCGTGGGGGAGGCTGGGCTTGTGTGGGGGTTCGCTCGTGCTGCAGCGTGAATGTGGGAATCTGATGGCCTTTAGGAGTTGGCTCTGTCAAGCCACATCCTCCGAGATAGCTGGCTCCCAGCTTCCTGTCCCTGCCTGGTCTCTTACAGCACTAACGCTGGGATCCCACGCCATCCCACCTTGCTTTTCTGGGCTGAAACATAGGTTCCAACTTCTTGAGGCTTACGTAGCTACCATCTTTACCTGCTGGGCTGTGCTCAGGCCCCACACTGTGGCTTTAAGACAAATTCACAGAGTTTTACCCCGACTGGAGGGGCTAAAAGTGGATAGAGGCCCTTGAGACAAACCTCTGGCCCCTCTGGGTGAGGGGCCTCGTCCCTGGCTTGGGGGATGTTTCTTCTGAGGTGCAAATGAGAAAAGGGAGCGTAAGGTGGAGTCTATCACATTTTAAGAATGTGAAATTAAGAGAGAAGGGTGTGTGTGTGTGTGTGTGTGTGTGTGTGTGTGTGTGTGTGTGTGACTTCTAACACCACTCTTCTCTCTACAGCAGGACAAGGAGGGGTCCCTTCAGGATGTGAGCACTACCAGTGCACCTGCAGGATGTGGAGACAGGCGGGCAGGGGCGGGGCCTGAGGCGGGGCGGGGCCTGAGGCAGGGGATTTACTGAGGTTTGCTGAAACGGTTTAGTAAGGACAAGCTCTGGGCTAGAAAGTGCGGCACCATCTTGGTCCAGGCAGGAGGTTATCTATCTCCCTGAGAGATGGAGGGGAGGAATACATCGAGATCTCATTTCTGTACACATGGTGAGAATCGTCATCACAAACCCACGATACTGCCACACATGATGGTGTATGCTGTCATCCCAGCACTCAGGTGACTGAGAAAGGACTGCTGTGGTCTAACCAGCCTGGGTTAGAGAGTGAGATCCTATGGAAGCAGAGTCAGGCAAATCACTGAGTTCCAGGCCAACCTGATAGCAAGTTTCAGGCTAGCCAGGGTTATGCAGTGAAGTCCTGTCTCAAAACAAAAGCAGCCTCAAAACAGGGCCACTGACGTCGGGCGTTGGTGGCACACGCCTTTAATCCCAGCACTCGGGAGGCAGAGGCAGGAGGATCTCTGTGAGTTTGAGGCCAGCCTGGTCTACAAAGAGCTAGTTCCAGGACAGCCTCCAAAGCCACAGAGAAGGCCTGTCTCAACCCCCCCAAAACCAACCCCCCCCAAAAAAACAAAAAAGCAGGGCCACTGTATCTCTGCACTGCGCTAGACCAGGGGGAATCGGCAACACACTAACTCACCCAGCACTCTGAGTAGCCTCCCCCAGAGGCAGAGGCCAGTGGCTCTAAGAGAATCACTAAAATTCGGTACACAGAGAGTTCCACACTAAAGTTATGCACCTAGACCAGGGCTGGCTGGGGCTTACTTAGTAGAGTGAGTACTGGCTGTACTGTGAGACCCTGGGTCCCATCTGCAGCACCAAATGAACCAGGCAGGCATGGCGGTGCACAGCAGGAGGCTCATCCTTAGCCACAATCGTGAGATCAGGGCCAGCATAGTCTATGGGGATGGGAGAAATGGGGGTGTGGGGCAGGAAGAAGAAAGCCAGCCAGCCGATCAAAGCCCGCCCTTTGGGGTCCCAGGTGAAGCCAGAGCAGGTCGTGTTTGCACTGTGGGCTTCTGCTGAGACTTCACTCTCAAATCCAGTGAGTTTTAGACAAAGCTCTGCCCTGGATTGCAGATGACCCACTGTTTACTAAGCCCGAGTCTCTGGTATGAGAGCCACTCCAGCACACCAAGAGACACACTGCTGCCCCCTCGGAAGCTCAGCAGCCAGACTTTGGGATCCCCTTTCCCGCGGCTGGGAGATGCTCTTAGAGGCACTGTGTGACCACTCCAGCCACCCCTGCCAGGAGAACCTCAGGAGGGAACGAGGGGAGATCTGAGCTTTTTACAGAGGACTGTGGGGGATTGGGTCTCAGAGTGTTTCCACCCTCTTTCTCGTGGCTGTCTGGGTTCTGGCTCCCCAGGAGAAGTGGGAACATGTGTGTGCTTAGCCTGGATGTTCAGCAGAAATCCCCTTCATCCTTCTCCCAGTTTTCTGCTGGGTGTCTCTTGTGTTTTCTGTGTTCCTTTCGGGCTTTGTGATGTCGGTGCTGGTGGTGACGGCGGTGTCTACGCGTCCGATGTGACCGCCTGGCTGCAGAGATGGGGAAGAGAGAGCATGGGGTGGTTGGATGTCACTGGCCCCCAGGGGGATAGGAAGAGGAAAAATACAGGCAGGGCAGGTATGATAGCCTCGGGAGGTAGAGGCAGGCACATCTCTGTGAGTTCCGGGCCAACCTGACCTACAAAGCAAATTTCAGGACAGCTAAGGCTACACAGAGAAACCCTCTCTTTTTTTTTTTTTTTTTTCGAGACAGGGTTTCTCTGTGGCTTTGGAGGCTGTCCTGGAACTTGCTTGGTAGTCCAGGCTGGTCTCGAACTTACAGAGATCCGCCTGCCTCTGCCTCCCGAGTGCTGGGATTAAAAGCATGCACCACCAACGCCCGGCGAGAAACCCTCTCTTAAAAAACAAAAACAAAAGCAAAAAACAAAGAACCAACAACAAACAAAAAACAGCTTGTCAGGGCCGGAAATTCGGCTTAGTGTGGGTCCTATTTTATAGCCCAGGCTGGCCTGGGACCTGCAGCTCCTTTGCACTGACCTGGGAGTAGCTGAGGATCCCACCAGCTGGAGTGGGGACTGTACACCTGTTGTCCCAGCACTTCCAGGGCTAGCCTGCGCTACATGATATTCTGTCTCCAAAATATACCAATGAAAGCACTAGGTGGGCTGGTGAGTTTTCACTTATTTGTAAGGCTGCATTATCAGGAAGATTTTGTTTTGATTTGTTTTGTTTTGGTTTTTACGAGACAGGGTTTCTCTGTATTGTTTTGGAGGCTATCGGTCCAGCCTGGCCTCAAACTCACAGAGATCCGCCTGCCTCTGCCTCCCGAGTGCTGGGATTAAAGGCGTGCGCACACAGGAAGACTTTTTTTTGAGGCTGGGCCTTTCGTAGTAGAGGATGACCTTGAACTCCTGATCTTCCTGAGTTCGGGGAGGATAGGTGTCTGGAAATGGCTCGAGCAACTGAGCTACAATCACTGTACCTATGGGGGTCATATCCTCAACCTAGCTTGTTTTCTCCTCTGGGTCTCACACCATAGCCCAGGCTGGCCTTGAACTGTAACCTTCCTACCTCAGCTGGGATTACAGATGATAACGTACCGTGGTGTGGAGTGAGGATGTTATAACCAGGACCTGTAAACAAGTGGACTCTCGTCAGGGACGGGTTATTGGGTATGGCACTTACGTTTGGTGCAGACAATCTGTGGCTGGTCCCACTTTCCATTGTTCCGGCAGCGGATAGTGGCCACGTGGTGCTGGGAGAACCCTTCGTCACACTGGTATCGCACAGTGGCATGGACACTGTACTTGGCTTTGCGCACGCCGACAAGGGAGGCATTCTCCACTACGGGAGGGGGGCCACACAGCACTGGGGACACAGGGACTCGGGTTACGGAAGCGGCTAAGGATAAGCAGTGGCCCATCTCCTTAGACGGGAACCCTCCCTCCACACAGCTCTGAGCACAGAGAGTGCTGGAGGATTGTGCCTGTCTCTTGCTTTTTACTAAACCAGGAGCTGGGGGGAGGGGTCTTTGGACACACTCACTCCCTAGGGCACAAGCACAGACCAGGAGCTGGGGGGGGAGCATCTTCTGGACACACTCACTCCCTAGGGCACAAACCGTAACTCAGGAAAGGTGGGCAGAGTGCACAGGAATTATCTCCTGCATAAGTAAAGAGTTCTTAGAAATCAGCCAGGGGGTGGGCATGCCTTTAATCCCATCACTGGGGAGGCAGAGGCAGGAGGATCTCTGAGTTCCAGGACTGCCAGGGTCATACAGAGAAACCCTGCCTTGAAAAACCAAACAAAAATTTTTTAAAAAATAAAGAAAAAGAAATCCCCGACCCTAAGGCACGAATGGGGAATAGTCGGGAAAACAACCCCAGGCTCAGGCAGGACAGGCGGGGAGGGGAGGGAAGGGGTGGGGCTGTGCGTACCAGTGCCCTTCTTGCAGACATAGGGGAGGTTGTAGTTGCAGGGGACGTCGTTCCAGCGCCCGCTCTCATGTGCCACCATCACCACACAGTCCTCTCCACCCGCGAAGAAATTGTCGGGCTGATTCTCCCTCCAGTTCTCATATTGCTTTGGAAAAAGAGGGCCGAGGTTACCCTGGCGCCGGGGCGCCAGCCATCCCAGCCCCTGGCACTTCCCGTGTGGTTCCTGTGGCCAGACCCTCCAGCAAGAGAACCGGTGCCCGCCTCTCTACCGCAGGCGCTGACCGCTTCCAGGACGCCCCTCCATTCTTCCTGCCTCTTTCCTGCCTTCCTGGTCTCCCATGAGCATCAGCATAGGTAAAGAGTTGAAAAAATGCTAGCCCCAGCTTGGAGTACAGGGGCCTTCCATCGGGAACAAGAAGCGCCAAGGCAGAGGTCAGGAGACAGAGCGGCACGTGCAAAGGCCCAGGGGCAGGGAGGGGGTCAATGATAGGTGGGACTGCTTGTTGGCAGAGTGGGCAGTGCCAGATCTCATGGGCAGCAAAAGGAAATGGGTATTTTAAAAATTGTGGCAGTGTATATATACTATGAAACTTGGCTTTAAAGGTATTTTTATAACATTCAAAAAATCTGGGCAGGAGAGGTGGCTCAGCAGTTGAGCACTGGCTTCTCTTTCAGAGGTCCTGAGTTGGAGTCTTAGCACCTGCATGGTGGCTGACACTGTCTGTAACTCCAGTTCTGGCCACTGGGGGCACTGCATGGACATGGCACACATACATCTGGTAAAACAGTCCTACACATTAAATAAATAAGGGAATTATTACAAGAATCTGTTTATTTGAGCCAGGCATGGTAGCACACACTTTAATTGCCAGCACTTGGGAGGCAGAGGCAAGAGAATCTCAGTGAGTTCCAGGCCAGCCTGGTCCACACAACCCAGTTCCAGGACAACCAGGGTTACACACTGAGACCCTGTCTCAGAAAATGATTTATTTTAGAGGAGGATACACATAGTACGTACCTTTGGAGGTCAGAGGGCTCCTTTGGACATCCCTTCTTTTCTTTGATCCTCAGGGATCAAACTTGGATTACAGGGCTTGGCAACAAGCTTGTACTGCTATGCCAAACCCATGTAGATGGTTTTAAGCCATGGTTCATGGTGTTACTCCCATCTTTGTGTTGTGTGACCATCACCACTGCTTCTGTTTTCAGAAATTTTTATCACGGGACAAACCAAAATTCTATACCAATCTAGGAAAAAAATAATCCCTCATTCTGCCTACCGGGCTCCCAGCACACGCCACCCTGCCCCACCCCACGGCCTCTCTGTTGGTTCCGTTCTGCAGTCAGGTACTGATGACTTTAACCTGTTGCTCAGTCTGCTGATGCCTTTTGAGACAGGGTCTCTAGCGTGTAACAGTGACTGTCTACAACTCACTTTGCAGCCCCGCTAAAGCTCCAGCTTGCAATGATGCCCCTGCCGCAGCTTCCCAAGCGCTGGGGTGTCAGAGAAGCACCACAACAACCACATTACTTCGATGGTGTGTATTTCTTCATATTTCATAGTGTTGGGATGGAGCCAGCTGTAAGTCAGACTGAGCCACGCCCCCAGCCATCATTAGAGGATCCTAGACAGGGCTCTTCTGCAAGCCACACCCCGGAGGTCTGAGGACCTATGATGCCCACCAGTGGTTGCTTCACCAGAGAGTAAACTGGGGCCGTTGGGCAGGGTCCCCCGGGTTCAGCAACCTGAGGACAGGGACCTGCCACTCACCAGTCCTGTGTTGTCTGTCCACTGGAAGTCCCTCTCCACTGTCCTGTCATTCAGGCCAATCCATGAGTTCTCATGTCCAAAACCTGTTGGAGGGAGGACTATGAGAGTGTGCTCCTCCCCAGGGCTGAAGGAGAAGAGAGTGAGCTGGAGAGGGCCTTCCCCTTAATCAGGTTAGTGACTACCCTAATTGTCCTCATAGAACCTTCATGCAGGGATCCGCAGCCAAGCCCTGGGCTGAGCTCCTGGAATCCAGCTGAAGAGAGGGAGGAGGGATCACATGAACAAGGGGGGTCAAGACCATGCTGGGAAGACCCGCAGAGGCAGCTGACCTGAGCTTGATCTGTTGGGGGAGGGTGCCTTGTTAGAGGGACCAGGACCTATACCGAGTGCACGAACTGGTTTTTTGGAGTCCATTCCCTATGGACCTGGCTCAGCCTTGGCACAAGCTCCACCTACAGCCCAGGGAACCGCCCCTACCGTTAATGAACTTGTGCTCCTCTGGTGAGTGGACGCTTGTCAGGTGGCCAGCCCGGCGCCTGCAGTCTCTCTCTGCGTCCTCCCAGGCCCGCCGATGGGCAAAGTACCGGTAGCAATGGCCCTGAAATTTGTGCCAGCCGTGGTCACAGCCTTCTGTGTCTGGGAGGCGGGACAGGAATGTGAGGGGAGCAGATTACGTCCCGGGGTGCAACACACAGGATGCAGCCACAACAACCACAAACAAAAAAGCAGATTAATTAAAGATTTTACATTAAAAACATATGGCCTGCAAGACACTCCAGCAGACAGGGTGCCAGACAGGGAGGCAGAGGCAGGTGGATCTCTGTGAGTTCGAGGCCGGGCTGGACCAACAGCCTCCAAAACAATACAGAGAAACCCTGTCTCGTAAAAACCAAAAAAAAAAAAATGTTTTTGGTTTTTCAAAACAGGGTTTCTCTGTGTAGCTCTGTAGACCAGGCTGGCCTTGAACTCATAGAGATCCACCTGCCTCTGCCTCCCAAATGTTGGTACTAAAGGCGTGTGCCACCACCTCCCAGCTATAACTTAAAACTTTTAACTATATAATATAACTAATAGAATAAAACTGATTTACACCCCATGGGCCTCGGGGTCAGGGGCAGGAACTCACCCTTCTCACACAGGCTGCCGCCGTAGCTGGGAAGGCAGAGGCAGACGAAGCCATTTACCTCATCGATGCAGGTGCCTCCGTTCTCACAGGGGCTGCACAGGCAGTCATCAATGTCTGCGAGAGTGCAATGGAGAGAGGTCAGGGGTCAGCCTCCACTCACATCCCAGCCTATGGGGAGGTGGAATACCGGTCAAGGGCACCCACAGGGACGGCAGTGTGGCTCTGCAGCCATGAGGACAGGCTTTGAGGAATGACCACTAACAAGCATGGGTGGCAGCAGGTGCCACCAGACAGAAGAGTGGGACCAGGCATTCAGGAACACTGCAACGTTAACGTTGTCTCCTTTGCACACTTGAAAGGGTCCAGAGCATCACCGAACCAGGCAATTCAGTTAACCCGTGTCACCTCACACACGAATGTGCACACACACACATACACACGCATGCACGCAGCACACGCGCGCACACACGAGCATACACACATGCGCGCACACACGCACACACACGAGCATACATGTATGCACATACACACGCATGCACGCAGCATGCGCACACACGAGCATACATGCATGTGTGCACACACACAAGCACGCACACACACACAAGCACACACGAACACACACGCGCACACTCACACACACACACATACACCCCCCACATATATGATAAAAATAAATAAATCTTTAAAAGAGGAATGACACCACTTATATTTAGTGCTGTAATCTTGAGTGATGCCTACACTGCTGTCCACCTAGATGAGGGTGGTCTCCCAGAGCTGTTTGCTGAGAGTCATCTGACCCTTTTGCTGTCCCCCCCACCCTCCATGTTTATGGTGAGAAATGGCTGTCCTGAGCTACAGCCCCCAGAGCACAGCCCCTCAGCTAACTAGTTTGGGCTCAGCTAACTTCGGTTGATTGACCCATACTCAACACACAAGGGACAGGACTGTCCTCTGGGACACTCACCAATCTCACAGTTCTCCCCAGCATAGCCCTGGTCACAACTACAGCCGTACATGGTGCCGTTGGTGTGACAGCTGCCCCCGTGCAGGCAAGGGTTGTTCTCGCAGGGGTCTGTGGGGTCTGTGGTGTAGACAAGCAGTGAGAATGCGGTGGCCACCGTGCCATCTTTCATTGAATCCAGAAAGTAGTCCTTGCCTGTGACGCTCCCTCCATTGCCTCCCCAGTGAACAACAGCTCTCACGCTTTGCGACAGGAATCTTACCACATCTGAGACCTGCACCGCACATAGTGTCTGAGGGATGACCTGCTCACGGCCAAGCCCTCTCAGGTCATACAGACTCACCAGTCTAGTGAGTTTCCCCAGGGACCAGAAGACAAGTTGCAGGAGTTCATTCTGTTGCCATGTGGGTCTTGGGGCTCGGTGGCAAGCACCTTTACCTGCTGACCCCCGTCATTGCCCTGCCAGGCCCCTTCCAAACTCACTGCTTTCGTCTCTCTCTGAGAGCAGTGACATTAGTATGGCAGCCACACCTCACGCTTAAATTAATTAAAATGAGATGATGCAGTTCTATGAGGCACATGTCAGTTTGACCACTCAGGGAATGTTGTGGAGATCAGCTTGCAAGGCTCAGAACACAGCAGGCATGTAACCCTGCTGGCTGACTGAACGGGGAGGGGGGATAGCCATAGCTGAGACATCTGTCTCTGGGGCAGTGACACTGGGAAAGAGGGCGTCCGGTCTGTGTGATGTGCCTGCAGAAGCCCCAGCCCTGGGCAAGCCTGTCTGGGACAGACGGTGACATGCAACACTTGACAGCCACCAGGCTGCCCCATCACCACACCTGCCCACGGCTCGCACTGACTCGGCGGAGCTGATGTATTTTTTGCTTCATTAGCATTTGTGCTGTGGGTGTCTTGATGTCTTCCTACCACGTCACCTTCTGCAACCCAGAGTCGACCCGCTCAGAGTCCTGACCACAGATCCCCTGTGTGTCTTTCCTCCAGATGTTGTCACTCTTAGGGGCCTGACAGCGCAGGCGGACATCGTGTGTCTTACACACCCTGCACTGCATCTTGTGCCAGAGACGGAGGCGCCTCTCCCTTCCTGTCTTCTTTTCGGCTTCTATCACTTCCCTCCTCTCTGCCTCCCTTCTCACCCACTCCCTCCTTTATACAGTCTTGTGTAGTCATCCAGGCTGTCCTCGAACTCACTTCTTAGCTGAGGCTGACTTCTGACCCTGACTTTCCCTCCCCAGTGCAGATGTGTGCCAAGCCCAACTCACATCTCACAGGCTCTGGTTTCTGGATTTGTTTTTCTGTCCTAATTCCAGCTGCAGCTGCAGCTGTGTGAACATGCTAAGTGCTTAGATATCCCTGTGCCTCAGTCTCCCCTCAAGGAAATTGAGAACCACACAAGACTTGTCCCGTGAGATGTCACAAAGCTGAACCGATCTGGCTGGGAATTGGAACACATGCCCATGACCCTCACATGCAGGAAACTGAAGCAAAAGGGTCGGTGAGATCTCTAGGTCAGCCTGGGCTACAGAGTGAGATCGAGGCGGCTGGAGGTGGTTCAGCACTTCAGAGCACCGCTCTTAGGTGTCCGAGTCCCAGCACATACACGCTCTGGTTCTAAGGGATCACACGGGCAGCAGGCACATATGCTCTGCACACGCATGCAGGCAAAACCCTTGCAAGTGTGTGCCCGCCATCCTAGCTCCGGGACCCCAGGATCTCGATGACTAGCCAGTCTAGCTTGGTTGGCAAATTCACAGGCCAGTCCCCAAAATATGAGGCAGAGGACTGGCGCAGTGGCTCAGCAGGTGACATACTTAATGCCAAGACTGATGACCGGAGCTTGATTCCTGGAACCCACATGGTGGGAAGAGGGAACCCAGTCCCAAAATTGTCCCTGGCTTTCACAAGAGTGCCACGGCATACATGTATTCATTTGCGTGCATGCACACACATTAATGAAGACAATTAGAAAACAAACAAGATGAGCTGTACCTGAGGATAGGTACCTCTGGACATGCATGTGTTCATATGTACTCCCACACAAGTGCACTTGCGTGCACATAATAAAAATAAACGAATGAATTAAAAAAAAACAAGCCCTCTTAGGCTCGTAGATTCAAATTAGTCACCAGGAAGTGGCAGTGCTTGAAGGTGTGGCCTTGTTGGAGAAGGTGTGCCACTGGTTTGGAGGTTTGACGGCCCCTGACAGGCCTGGTTCTCCGCTTCTGCCTATGTCCAGGGGGGAGCACTTCCTTACCGCTCCAGGACTATTTGTGCTGCCACGACGGCAATGGATTAAACCTCTTAATCTGTAAGCAAGCCCAGTCAATGTTTTCTTTTATATGAGTGGCCGTGGTCGGTGTGTCTCTTTACAGCAATGGGACGGTGGCTAAGACACTGGGTATGGTGGCACACACCGGCTGTTCCGGCATTCAGAAAACTAAGGCAGGAGGACTGCCACCAGTTCAAAGCCACCCAGGGTTTCGCGGTCACCGGGCCTCTTGCTCTCCTCACCATCCAAGCCCCTGCCATCTCCACGACTGAGTCAATCCAGTTCTGGTTCCTGCCCATCCTAGATACTGCTTGAACGGTGTCCTCTCCTTCCTACCCTGCCTGGGATGCAACCAGATCTAGCTGTCTTCCACTGACATCAAAATTGCTGAAGGCAGGCCCCCAGCATCACACTACCCTGTCCATCAAAGTGATCTGGATATTTGGAAACCCAGGTCCCCCAAATTCAATCCCCCAGTGACTCATGGAGCCCATGCTTTGTTCAGTAACTACATTCCTTGAGTGTTAGAAGTGTCCAGTGTTAGCCGAACAAGGAACAAGATGATGAAAAGGTACTTTTAGTCCCAGCACTCGGGAGGCAGAGGCAGGTGCCTCTCTGTGAGCTCAAGGCCATAGTTACACAGCCAGTTCCATATCAGCCAGGGCTGCAAGAGAGACCTTGTCCAACAATAGCACAGCACAACCCAGAAAGGCCCAATGTAACTCACTCGCCTCTGGCATCAACCTTTGTTAGAAAAATACAGTCCCAGCAGTGGTGGCGCACGCCTTTAATCCCAGCACTCCGGAGGCAGAGGCAGGTGGATGTCTATGAGTTCGAGACCACCCTGATCTACAAGAGCTAGTTCTAGGACATCCTCCAAAGCCACAGAGAAATCCTGTCTCCAGAAGGAAAGAAAGAAAGAAAGAGTCCTCCCAGGGCAGTTCCCCTGCTCAGGGAACCCCCAGTCTCCAGCCCCCAGGTCTTGGACACACTAGGACAGATGGTGAAGTCAGAACTTACCCTCCTGCCCACTGGCCACTTCTTCCCAGAAGCCCTCCAATCCTGGACTCCCGGCCGCAACATTTAGGTCTGACTCATCCAAGCCCAAGGACATAGGTATTGGGGTGCTGGGGGCGTCCCACAGTCCACTGGGCTCCCCTGAGGAAACTGAGGCTACTTCATCCATGCTGGAGGCCAGGGATGACCATGGATGCGAAGGCAGGCTGCTGTGAGACCCTGGTAACCCCTGGGCTACCATCTGGTCGTCTGGCTCTGGGTGGTCTTGGGGGCTTGTGGAGGTCAGTGTGGACACACCCTGGGTCCCAGCCATGGTCTCTTGTTCCATGCTTGGACTTACAGTCACATGGGTTCTAGAAATGGAACTTTGGGGTTTAGACCCCCAAGTGGCATCAGCATCTCTGGGGACGTGCTCCATGGTGGCCTTCATAGGGTCCTCAGTGGCACCTCCCTCCAAAGCCACTGTAGGTGTGACACTCACGGTGACTCCAGGCCCTCCCAGTGGTGAGGACTGGGAACCAGAGTCCAGTCCTTGGCTGGGCAGGGGTGACCAAGTGCCCACAGTGCCCTCTCCATCGGATGTAGGACTCCCTGATATGTTCAAGACCCCAGACTCAGTGCCCAGGATGCCGGCATCAGAGGGGACAGTATTGATAGTCACATTACTGGAGTACAATGACACCCATGGGCCAGAGCTGGGGTGCTGGGTAGCCTGGGTGGAGCTAATTCCCCCAGTTTCTCTAGAATCTGCAGCAGGAGATTTGTAGCTGGCTTCACCTGGGGCTTCCACAGTGGTCTGAGATGGAGTTTCCAGGTCTTCTGCACCAAGGCTGATGGGTGTGGCACTGGGGATAGCCCTATCTAGTTCTTCTGGGTGCCAGGAGGGCAGTGGAGAAGCTGGGGAGGGTGGAATGGGGGTCACATTGGGGACGAATGTGGAGTGTGGCAGAAGCCACTGTTTGGGGGCCCGAAGCATGGCTACAATGGGGAAGTCCGGAGAGATGTCGTCAGGGAGCGCCTCATGGAAGACAACACTTGGGGCCTCTGAGGGACTGAAGGGAGGAGCAGAGGGCTCTGAGGGAGACCAGGGCAGGTGGTCCACGCTTGATTTCACACTGGAGGCTTCAGCTTTCCTTGGCTTCAGGCCAGGGACACTGTCAGGGCTTGTGATGATAGACGAGGGCCACATCCAGGACTCTGGGGGACTCTTGCTGCCAAGAGAACCTGTGACATCAAAAAAGTTGTAGTTAGCAGGGCCTGGTGCAGACACTTGTGATCCCAGCTCTTGGGAGGCCGAGGCAGGAGGATGAACAGCTAAGGCCAGTCTGCACTACAGAGAGGTGCAGCTTCCAGAAACATGTTTAGCAGGTGTGGCAAGCAATCCTGCTTCATGCAGTTAGGAGGCAGGAAGATCTGGGCTTCAGAGTCATCCTTGGATACATGGAAGTTAGAGGCCAGCCTGGGCTACAGAAGAAGTTGTCTTAACACCCCCTCCCCAGAAAACAAACAATAAAAGCCAATGTCATCTTAGTGCTTGGGAAACCAAGGCAGGAGGATTGCTTTGAGCTCCAGGCCAGCCTTTGATATAGAGTGAGACTCTGCCTCAAAACACAAAACTCATGTAACATGTTTGCTATGAAGGCCTGAGTTAGGATCCCCAGCAGTCACATAAAAGCTGGCCACAGCAGCCCAATTCTTAAATTCCAGTTCAGGGGGAGTGGAGACAGGTGGCTTCCTGACACCACCAAAGAGGGGACCCAGGCTTAGTGAGAGACCCCACCTCAAAAACTAGGTGGAAGGTCATAAAGGAAGGCACTTGAAGCCCACCTCTGATCTTCATTAGCTTGTGTGCAAGCACCCACACTCACTCTCACACAAACACACATATTCCCACACTCAGTCACTCACTCACATACTAAACACACACACACATACACTCACAAACCATACACACTCACATACTACACATACACACTTGCACACACTCACACAACACACATACCTCATTCACATACACACACCACTCACACTCCACACACACTCATATAAACACATGCACACACTCACACAACACACATACCTCATTCACATACACACCACACACACACACACACACACACACACACGAATGAGGATTGGAGGTAGGTGCCGGAACAGTGTATGGTCTGTATTCACCCTTCCTCTCTCCCCAGGTCACTCACCTGCCCCTGGCACGTCCACTTCATTGGTCAGAATGGCCCAGGGACTGTGACTGTGGCTCTGGTCACTCTCCGAGGCTTCTGTGGCTGCGGAAAGCTCCTGGAGATCAGCAGTAGCTTCCAGAGTGTGAGGCTGGGCACTGGCCTCTGCTGTCCCAAGCAGCTGGCTATCTGGGTCCTGTTGCTGGAAGTGTCGACCGTTTAACCCTTTGAAGCGGCCCCTCCTCAGTGTGGGGGTGGAGGCCACCTGTGTGCCCAAGGGTGCTGTCTCTGCCATATCAACTCCCACGCCCCTGGGGCTGGGGACGCCTGGGGAACTCGTGGAACCGGCAAGCAGCCATGAAGCCAGTGCGGGGTCCCCTGGGGTAGAGCCAAGGGGCTTCTGAGGCTCTTGTGTCCATGTTGAGTCCAGGGGTTCATCTTCCCCACTAGACACGAGAGGTTCCTGGAAGTTGAGCGCCTCCTCCTTCTCCTCCCCCAGTCTGGGTTCTAGTTCTTGGGCTGGGGGCCCCTCTGCTGACGCAATCTCCCCCTCATCTCCAGAAGAGGGCGCCTCTGGGTCTCTGTGTTGTGGTGTAAGGTGATGAGCTATTGAAAAAGCAAAAGGGTTGAGGTGGCCCGGGCAAGCTAGGAGAGTGCCTACAGCGTGAAGTCCCACCCAAGGCTGGATTTCTAGGGTTAAGGAGTCTTGGGAAATAGAGCCCTTGGGGAGAGTACAGCCTTCTCTAGGGCCCTGCCCACTAGTGTTGTGTCCTGTCTGTAGCCCAGGCTAACCTGGAAATCAATATATAGCCCAGGCTTGCTTCAAACTCACAGAAATCCTCCTGCCTCAGCCTTCCAAATGCTGGGTGATACAACAGTAGCCCAGCAGTGGCCACATCAGAGGAAAGACCCCTCTCAGGGGGAGGGACTCTCCCCGAGGGTGTGGCTTGTCACAAGGTTTCCATGGAGATATCAGCATAAAATGATTTTATTGTTTTGTTTCTGGGTTTTTGAGTTGGGATCTCATGTAGCCCAGGCTTGCCCTGAACTGATTAGGTAGCCCAGAATGATGTTAATATTTCCGATTCTTTTGCCTGTTCATCCCAGGCCCTCAGGCGCACACCTGCCTTTATTTGATGATGAGGACTGGATTCAGGGCATTGTGCTCTCAAGGTAAGCGCTCTCCCAGTTGAGCTACAGCAGTAGTCCAAGGAAAATTTCTGGGCGTGGTGGCCAAACCCTGAATCCAGCACTGGGGGTGGAGGTGGGGCAGGGGGAGGGGGCAAAGACATCCCTGTGAATTCAACACCAGGGGTTCCAGGACAGTCAGAGCTGCACATTGAGACCTTGCTTCAAGAAAAAAACAAATAAATGAAGGCTGGTAGGCGTGTGGCGTTCACTAGCCTGTGTCTAGTCCATGGAGCATGCCCATAATCAATAGTCCTGGTAGGGTTATGGGATGTAGTATGGGGTGTGGCCTCCACCAATGATCCTGACTGGGTTCAAGGGAATTTGGCGGCATGTGGTTTGCTCTACCCAATGCAGATGGTGGGACACCCATGAAGGCGTGGTTTTCAGTACATACTTTCAGGCCTCTGTGTGTGTGTGTGTGTGTGTGTGTGTGTGTGTGTGTGTGTGTGTGTGTGTGTGTGTGTGGTCAGGCAGGGACACCACCTGGGGCATAGCTTAGGCAGACACTCCCAACTGGAGACCGGTCTGGATGACACACACCCAGGAATGGTGGCCCCAGACAAGGGCTCTGGTGGGCGTGGTCTGCAGCCCTGGGGGGGAGCATCTCGAAACGCACCTCGGAAGCAGTAGGCATCGAAGCGTGCTCCGGGTGCAGGGAAGCCCGTGCGGTTAGCGAAGCGGTATACTGTGCGCACACCCGGGGCAGGGCCCCCACAACGCCGGCGCGGCGTCTGGATCGGGTAGCGCACGCTGCCATCTGCCAACCAGCCCGGATCGCACTGGTCCAGGCCCTCGTGCCAGGCCAGGTGCAACTGTCCCACCGAGGCCAGCGCAGCACCCTGGCGCCGACATTGTGCCCGTGCGCCGGCCAGGGTCAGCCGGCGGGCGGGGCCCACGTAGAAGACCTCGCCTGGGAGAGGGACGGGATGGAGGTCAGAAAGGGGTGGGAGGAGGAGCGGCACTCGGAACTGAGGATGGGAAGCGCAGGGGACGGCTGGCCCAGGTCTTGGCTCCATCTTTGAAGAGCTTTGAGGAACTTGGCGGGAGTCGGGGGATAGGAGATCATCTGAGGTTCAGGGAGGGGTGGCCTGGATTCCTCGTGCCACTCTGGAGGGCACTGAGACTCCGGAGAGATTTGTGTGGGTTTCGGGAAATACGGGGATTGGGACAGCACCGGACACTCAAGGACAGGTGGTGACGGGGTTCCAGCCGCGCTTGCCTTACCCCCTAGCTCGCGGGCAAAGCAGTAGACATCGTAGAGTTCCTGCGGGTCGCGTCTGCCGTAGCTCCGAACCCCGGGCAGACTGCTGCGGTCACCATAGCAACCGGGACGCGACTGAGTGATCGGATACCTGCCGGCGCGAGGGGAGTGGTCAGATGTGTGGCTCAGGGAGCCCCTTCTCTAGGAGCGACCCCAATCCCATCCTTCCGCGCACCCCCTCACCGAACCGTGCGGTCTGAGAGCCAGCCCGCGTCGCAGTTGTCAAAGCCGTCTTCGAACGCAGCCTGCAGATGCCGTGGAGCAGCGATGGTGGCGGAGCTCAGGCGGCAGGCCTCCTGGGCCTCATCGAAGGTCAGCGCGTAGCGGTCCCGGGCCGCCCGGTAGTGGAACACGACGCCTGGGGGTAAGGGGCCGGAGAGAGGCTGATGGTGGAACTTTAGAGAACAGACCCCTTTAGTGCAGACTTTTTAAAGACAAGGTCTCATCAGGCTTCGTGGCACACGCTCTTAAACCCAGCCAGCCCTCCGGAGACAGGGGCAGGCGGATCTCTGAGCTCGAGGCCAGCCTGGGCTACAGAGTGAATTCCAGGACAGCCAGGGCTACACAGTGAGAGTGTCTGAAAAGGAACAATCTCTCTCTCTCTCTCTCTCTCTCTCTCTCTCTCTCTCTCTCTCTCTCTCTCTCTCTCTCTCTCTCTCTCTCTCTCTCTCTCTCTCTCACACACACAGGAAAAAGACATTTTCTCATGTAGCCCAGGCTGACTCACAGAGCTCCTCCCATTTCCGTTTCGGAGTTCACCACCCTCGCCCAGATTGGTTTTTCTTAATCTGTTGGGATAACAGAGACTACCCTGGAATGTAGCAGGGAAGCTGGTCAGACACTCTCACCCCTAATGCACGTGTTAACTGACATTATAAAGATAGGCTCTTAACTTCTTAAAAAGGTTTGTATTATCTGGGTGATGGTGTCTCGAAAAAATAAAAAATCGTATTTGGGGGCTGGAGAGATGACTCTGCAGTTAAGAGTATTTTTGCTCTTCCAGGGGACTCAAGTTCAATTCCCAGCACCCAGATGGTGGCTCACAACCATCTGTAACTCCAGTTCCATGGGATCCAGCGCCCTCTTCTGTTCTCTGTGGCACCAGGGCCACACTCGGTTCACAATATGCATACAAAGCAACCATGCACACAAAATTAAAAAGTGTTTTTGTAAACAAGATTTCTCTATGTTGTTCTGGTTGTCCTGGCACTCACTCTGTAGCCCAGGCTGGCCTCGAACTCACAGAGATCCGCCTGCCTCTGCCTCCCCAGTGATGGGATTACCCCAGAGGCTGGTCCCAGGCTTGGCCCGCCCCTCCTAACTTAGCACCGCCCCCTCTGTCTGAACCCTTCCCTTCTGTTCTAACCTGCCTTTCCGTCCTCAGCCCTTCCCTTCAGTCCTACAATGTCCTTGCTCTTCAGGCTCTTTCATGACGGGCCTCCCCTTCCGTCTTAGCCTCTCCCGTGATCTCCCCTTCATCTTCTGTCCTGGCGCTTTCCCTGCTGTCTCCCCTCCCCTTCTCACTGTCTCCTCCCCGTCTGTCCTGGGCATCTTCCTCTCCATCCTCAGACCCTCTTCCAGCCTCTTTTTCTTCTTTTTATCTCCTCTTAGGACTCCCAGGGCCGGGCGGTGGTGGCGCACACCTTTAATCCCAGCACTCGGGAGACAGAGGCAGGCGGATCTCTGTGAGTTCGAGGCCGGGCTGGACCGACAGCCTCCAAAACAATACAGAGAAACCCTGCCTCGGAAAACCAAAAAAAAAAAAACAAAAAAAAAACCCCCAATGATTCCAGGCCCCTCCTCCCAGCCTCAACCCTTCCCCTTCATCTTTGGCCACGCCCATTACCTGCTGCTAACTCACCTGTCACCTCCAGGGTCACCAGGTCCTGCTCATCCTCGATACCCCTCACCACTTGGCAGCGATACAGCCCAGAGTCGCTGGCCCGAAGCGGCCCCAGCAGAAGCGTAGCATTGGCTCTGTGCCGGGGGTAAGCAGGCAGTGACACCCGGCCCTGCCAGCCCTTAGCTACACGCACCACATTGTCCTTGGCCACCAAGATGGGCAAATCCTGTCGCTGGCCCGATGCAGTCTGAACCTTGGACCACTTAATCCGAGGAATGTCTCGAAGGGTGCCGGGCAGTGGCTGCCAGGTGAAGAGGCAGGGCAGGGCCACCAGCTCTGCCAGAGCAGCACGGGTGGGTCCCGCCCCCGGCTTCAGCATGTGAAGCCCCTTTTCTGTGGTGCTGGTGTCCTGTGAGTCTGGATGGAAAGAGGACCTGAGTTAGAGGCGAGCCAGCAGCACAGCAGCATTTCTTGCTTCAGTGAGTTCTTTTTCTTCTTCCTTTTTCTCTCACTCTGTTTCTCTTTTTGAGACAGTCTATGTATTTTACTGTACACCTCGGTTGGCCTGAAACTCACCACATAGAAAAGGCTGCCTCTGCTTCCCCAGTGCTGGGATTAAAGGTGTGTTTATCACACTCAGCTTCACCGACACGTCCTTCCACAGAGATTAAGCCGGAGAAGCCAGGCTGCGCGCACAGTGTCAGTGCAGAAAGGGACTCTGGGCCAGCCCACTTGTGGCTCTGCCTCTCTCTGTAGACTCCAGAAGGGTGAGCTACAGTTGTCATTATGACTGGCTTGCTGTGTGGCCCTGGGAAAGTCACTTTCCATCTCTGAGCCCCAAAAGTTAAGCCAGAGGCAGACACTGGAAGCAGTGCTTGTGGAGTAATATCTTTCCTTTTTCTCCTGGCTTCAGACAGGGTCACCTGTAGCTCAGGCTGGCCTCAAACTTGCTATGTAGCCCAGGATGGCCTTGCACTCCTTACCTTCCTGTTCTGTGGGGTGAGTGCTGGGATCGCAAGGGTACACCCTTTGTCGGGTGAGCACAATCAAGTTACTGAATTCCCATAACCATCTGTGGTGGCAACGGCCCGTCTTCTTGCTTATGGCCATAGAGCAATCAGCAAGGGATTCATTAAGTCCAGATCTCGCCCACCATTGGGGAAACCCCAGGGGAGGCACAGAGACCTCACTTCCCTTGTCCCGCCCATGGCAGACATCAGTGACCAATCCCTGTGCTATTGTCATGCTGTCCCCTACCTTTCTCTTTCAGATATTTTCAGGGAGAGGCTGTGAGAGGCGGGGAGCCTCCAGCCTCTGCTGGTTATGACTAAAAATAACCTCTCAGGTGTCTTGTTCGCTTTGACTGTTCACAGACTGCTTTCAGCTATTCTTGTTTTATTTTGTAGACCTAGCTAGAGGGCCAGCAGAATGTTCTGGAATGAAAAAGCTTCATCCCACCCTGCTGACCCATGGCTAACTGTTGAGTGACAGGACTCTCTGCCCTCCCTCCCCTGTGCAGGCCCCACTCACCCTGATCTGCAGCAGATAGGAGCAGCAGCCTCAGCACCAGGAGGCCTGAAACCCAGACAGATGTGGCCCCCATACTGGAGCTAGGAGCAAAGGAGAGGGAGCAAGGGTGAGTCACGGCACAGAACCCCTCCCCCGACCTTGGACATAGCAGAACCAGATGGCCGCAGCAAGAATTGGGACCCAGAACTCAGAAAGGCCAGCATGTCACTGAAGGTCACAGAGCAAGGGGAGCAGGGAGCTATGCAGGATTTGAACCCAGAATTCTTGCTTTAGACTCAAGCAGTGAGGCAGGACACCTGCTGAGCTTACAGGGCCTGTGTTTGATCCAGAACCTTCCAGGCTCACACAGGCCTTGGGTTCTCTTCCCAGACCTTGCCACACGCGTGGGGCCCCCACTTCTAACCCCTGACCCTAGCCTACTGAGCACATATGAGGCTGCGTGCCAGTCTTGGACGTCACTCGTGGGGAGGAGGGTTAGTGGCTCACACCTGTGATCTCACACCTCAGCCCTGGAGGGGTGGAGACAGAATTTGCACAGGTTTAGGCTGGCATGATCTGCATAGCAAGTTCTGGGACTGCCTCTTCCTTGCTGTGTGACTTTAGCAAGGAGCTTAGCTTCTCTCTGCTTCCCTTTCCTTGTGGGTCAGTTGAGGATAACAGTTGGCTGGAAGGGATGGATGAGTCAAATTATACACAATGTTTTGAGCAACTTGGCTTGAAGGAGAACATTTTAGCTGTGGCTAATATTATCATTAAACTTCACACTGTCAAGTCTAAAACCCTGGTTTTCATGTCAGCTTCCACCATCGGATTGGGAGCTCCTGAGGGAAGCCGTGGGTCCCAGGTCCTTCCCCAGCCCAGTCCTCCCCCACAGAAGAAGCTTCTTAGGCCCTGGTGCTATCCCCTGCAGAGGAGCCAAGTCCCACCCGACATATTGAGTGCCTGTGAGCAAATTCTACTCCGGTACCTGAAATATACTCATTCCCCAGGGATTCTGCAACAAAACTTTGCCCCTCTCTCAACTCAGGCCCCTCACAGGGGTCCAAGGGGACTGGGGAGGGAAAGTCAGAGGGCCACTTGCAGATCATCGACCCTTCAGTCTACTAAAGTGGAGCAGGCCTGTGGTGTGGTCTCCAGAGACCTTGACGAGCACAGGCGCTAAGGGATTCGCCAGCCTTGGACCTGTCCTTGGTGCTGAACTCTGAGGCGTACCTCAGTGGCTCTGAGCCGGGCCTGCCTTGGCACCCAGAGATGTCTGCTTGTTTGTTTTGGGTTGCACAGCAGAGCACAGGCTCATTTCAACCCAGGCAATCCACATTTCTTCCCCTGGGAACCCTAAGCTGATGTGAGGTACACTAGTGCTGAGATTCAGGATCTTAGGAGGGATCAGGCAGAAAAACAGGTGTTCTCTCATTCTCTCTTTCTCCCCAGCCCTCTCTACATAAGTGAGTTCAAGTGCATGTGGTGGCCAAAGATTGGCATCCCACACTTGGGAGGTAGGGGCAGGAGGATTAAGGATTTGAGGACACCCTGTACTACATGAGACCCAGTCTCAAAAAAATGAAGGAAGGAAGGAAAGAAGGAAGGATCCAACTGGGTGTGGTTGGGAGGCAGAGGCAAGTGAATCTCTGAGTTCGAGGCTAGCCTGGACTACAGAGTGACTTCCAAGACAGCGAAGGCATGTCCTTGTTTCAAAAGCAACCCTAAATAGATCCATGTCACACTCTGCCTACTTACCCATCATGCAACTGTGCACCAGGGGCCTCAGTTTCCCCACATGTAAAATAAACTTCATACAGCCCAAACCCTCTGAAGTTATCTATAAGGAGTGAGTTATCACTTTGAAAACACATCAAATTTAAAAACAGCTTTTTGTACACAAAACCTTGGGGAAACCCTAAAAATAACCCAAGGTAGCCGAACACAGTGATAGACACTAAGTTAGCCTCATGCTTCTCCCTCCCCAAACACCCTCTCCCTCCCTTCTCCTCAAATCTTCACACACCCACACCCTTCTCTTAAAATACTTCCTCCCCTGGGCTGCCAGAGGTGAGTGGCAGCATTTGGCCTGAGGTCTGAGCCCGCCCCCTCATGAATGATGCATTAGCCTCAAGAATATGTGAGCAGGGGCCTGCAGGGGAGAGGCGAGGCACATTCAAATGCTTGTGTGTCCTCACTCCATTCCCACCCACCCCACAGCACCCCATCTTGTGTCTCTCCACTGAGCTGGAGTTGGGCATTTATCATCTAGTGTCACTAGGTGGGTACAACTTCATGTACATCTGTGGTGCTGTGTTTGGGCAAGGGTATGACTGTCTGTACCCTGTGGTATGGGAACATCATTTCCATGAGCTTCAGGAGGATTTCTGGTCCTTGGCAGAGACCACTCCATGCACACACGTGCATTTGCAGACACTGTGGGTGCCGCGTGAGTCTCACACTGGATTTGTGTGCACAAGCATGAATACGGAATACTGTGGAGGAAAGCGGAAGCCAAGCTGGGGACCCCCTCCCCCACCATGCCTCTCCCACCCTGACTCCTCAACCTTGCACCCCTGTGCTCCGGATCACCTGTCTCTATTCACAAAACACATTTCAGACACACACCCCAGGAGAGACACACACAGCGACTTCCAGGGACACTAACAAAGAGGACCCATGCTGGCGCTTACTGGGTAGGTTGTGCAGCCTCTACACAAAGACACCACAGTCTGGAGTCCTCTGCTGAAGCCCCCAATGGATCGACCACCAGGTCTGGCTCCTCCCACAAGCTGCCACACCAGCCCTAAGTACAGACTGGGATACATGTGGCCTTGGTGACCGATGCATGGCCACTGGTAATGTGGCTCTCATCACAGTTTTGAAACAAAAGACACTAACTGCAGCTGTATCAGTCACAAGAGGACCCCAGAGCCCTGACATGCTTCTCCTCATGGCCTGTTGACACACAAAGGCCCCCACAGGGGCGTGGGAACCTTCTCTGTTCCCTGGGGGATAGCCAGGGGCCACTGAGACTGCCGGATCTGGGGTGGCACAGTGCGCACATTCACCCCGTCCTAGCTGACCCCCACATGCCCAGCTTGGGCCCTCGCCCACCCTGGCCTGCCTCAGCCTGGATTCTCCCCGCCACGCTTAGAATGAACAAAGCTACCCTGTGGAGTACGGATAGGGTCACTCAACACCTCAGTACCAGGTCCTCTCCTCCAAACCATTTTAAATGCACCAAGACGCAGACAGGGTGGGCATGTGCAACATCTGGGGGTTCCGTGTCTCCCCGCAGGGTCCAGGACCCACACCCAGCATTAGCACCCTCGTTGGGAACAGGGACTTCACATCTGTTAGAAAGCAGAAGGTCCCCTCAGGATGGGGCGGCCGGAGCCTCCTTCCCACCCAGCATGTAGTTAGAGGGCAGAGACCTGTCTGGGTTCCTTTCCCAGGGTCGGAGACTCAGCTGCAGACACACTTGAATTGGGGGCCCCTCCCCATCGCAGGCCTCTATTCACTTGTAAATTGGAGGTTCCCACTTCAAATTCCCGGGGAGTCTCAGCTAAAACACCGGGCTATCCAGTCCCAAGATTCCCTGGGTCATGTGCAGGATGCCCTTGTCTTTTTTTTCCCAAACTCGGGGTGCCCCTCCCCTAGTCCTAGCTCCCAGCGACTCCTGCTTGATCCAGGGACTATCTGCAGCCAGGGACCCTCCCCACCGGGGAGGGGGTGTCTTTTCATTCAAGACTCCCTTCTGTTCCTAACACCCCTAAGACCGATACGCTCTGCCCCCCCCCGAACTCGGATTCCCTCCCCCACCGTCCCCTGCCCATCCCCATCCGGGAGGGGGCTTCGCCTTCATCCTGGTCAGTCCTCCCCAAGTCCGATTCCTTGGCCCCCTCTCTGCGTGCCCCCACACCTGGCTCCTTAGCGCGGACACATCCCCACCGTCCGGGCACAAAGGACAGCGCCGCCGGCTCCCGGTGCCTCTCCAGCCCCTGCGCCTGGTGCTCCGCACGCCAGGCTCAGCCTCCTGACTTATAAAGGACCACAGAGATGCAGTGCGCACGCGCAGCCCTAGGCCTCCCGCTGTGCTGGCGGGAGTGGGGGGGCGCCTAGCCTGAGATTCCCTTCTTGTCTCCAGCACAGCCCAGGGCTGTTACAGCAGCCTTCGCCTGTATTTGCTGGCCCGCTTAGGAGCCCCGTTAAATGCCCAGCATGCCTCACAAGGGCACCTGTTCCAGTTTACAGGTGGAGACCGAGCCCCAGGGAGGTAAGAGAAAGGGAAGGGCAGAGCAGAGGTTCCAACCGACTGCCCAAGGCTCCAAGGACAGTTAGCTATTCCTAGGACATTATGGGCTTGGAGGAGCCACTGGGCCACCCAGAACTTTCCTCAGTCGTGAACGCTTTTGCTGCCAAACCTGAGGACCCGAGTCCAGTCCTCAGGACCTACAGGGTGGACGGGGAAAAGCGACTCCTGCGCTTGTCCTCTGACATACACCACACAGAAATAAAGGTCGTCAAGGGCACAGGCTGGGTCTGTTAGCTGCAGAACTGCTCCAGCAACCCAGCCATGTCCACACCACCCACTCACCATCATCACTGACTCACCATCATCACCATCATCACTCACCATCATCACCATCATCACTGACTCACCATCGCTCACCATCATCACTGACTCACCATCGCTCACCATCATCACTGACTCACCATCATCACTGACTCACCATCATCACTGACTCACCATCATCACTCACCATCATCACCATCATCACTCACCATCATCACCATCATCACCATCATCACTCACCATCATCATCATCACTCACCACCATCACCATCATCACCATCATCACTCACCATCATCATCATCACTCACCACCATCACCATCATCACTGACTCACCATCATCACCATCATCACTGACTCACCATCGCTCACCATCATCACCATCATCACCATCATCACTGACTCACCATCGCTCACCATCATCACTGACTCACCATCATCACCATCATCACTGACTCACCATCATCACCATCATCACTGACTCACCATCATCACTCACCATCATCACCATCATCACCATCATCACTCACCATCACCATCATCACTCACCACCATCACCATCATCATCATCACTCACCATCATCATCACTGACTCACCATCATCACCATCATCACTGACTCACCATCGCTCACCATCATCACTGACTCACCATCATCACTCACCATCGCTCACCATTGCTCACTCACTTGGTCCTATGAGACCATGCGTTTAGGACACCCCTACTTTGGGCAGGAGTATATGTGCAGCTTGACTGGAATGCTTGATTTTAGGGGCTGGGAATGTGGCTGAGTTGGTAGGTAGGATTCTTGCTTTAGCATGCAGGAAACCTTGGGTTTGATCCCCAGCTTCTCATGAACCAGGCAATGCAGACACTTAGGCAGGAGAGGCAGGAGGATCCAGAGTTCAAGGTTCAGCCCAGATTGGGGGCCACCCTGGGCTACATGAGACCCTAGCCTCAAAAACGGGTTTGGGGCTGGGGAGAGAGAGATGGCTCACTGAATGAAGTGCTTGTTTCACAGGCATGAGGACCTGGGTCTCCCAGCACCCATGCAGAAGTCATGAGCAGTGGCATTCCTATAAATCCAGGGCAGAGGGCAGAGACAGGAGGGCAGAGACAGGTGGTGCCCTGTGTCTGTCTGTGTCTTTCTTTTGGGGTGGAGGTGCTTTTTGTTTTTTTTTTTTGTTTGCTTAAATTATTTTTATTTATACAGTGTTCTGCTGGCACATAGCCTGCAGGCCAGAAGAGGGCACCAGATGAGGGTATCATTACAGATGGTTGTGAGCCAGCAAGTGGGTGCTGGGAACTAAACCCGGGTCCTCTGGAAGAGGAGACAGTGCTCTTAACCTCTGAGCCATCTCTCCAGTCCCATTTGTTTGTTCTTTTGTTTGGACAGGGTCGTTCTGTGTAATCCTGGTTGTCCTGGAACTTACTCTGTAGACCAGGCTGGCCTCAAACTCAGAGTTCCGTCTGCTTCTGCCTGCTGTGTGCTGAGACCAAAGGTGTGCGTTGCCACTGCCCAGCCCTGAGTCCTGTGTCTTGCTGGCCAGCTGATCCAGCCAAAATGATGGGCATGTCTCAAAAACAAATGAGCAGGTAAACAAGTGGGTTGGAGAGAAATAGAGGGAGACACTCCACATCAACTTGTTACCTCCGCACTCACATGTACCGGGTACATCCCTGTGCTCATGTGTGAGCACACAGACACACACACAGATTTTAGATCTCACTCAGACAAGGGGACACATAAGTGGTACCAGCACTCAATAGGCTAAGGCAGGGATCCTGAGTTCACATTTGACCTGGACTACAACACTGTCTCTCCAAAGGAACTAGAACAAGTCTAGATCTCTGCAGTGGAGTATTAGGTAGCCATGAAAAATTGTACACACCAGCTGGGTGGTGGTGGCACACACCTTTAATTCCAGCACTTGGGAGGCAGAGGCAGGCGGATCTCTTGAGACCAGCCTGGTCTACAAGAGCTAGTTCCAGGACAGCCTCCAAAGCTACAGAGAAACCCTGTCTCCAAAAACAAACAAACAAAAACAAAAAAAAAAGAAAAATTCTACACACAACAGGGGTAAATCTGGAAACAAGGCAGGCAGTAGAAGCCACATCATATTGGTCCCAGGAAAGTCCATAGAGACAGGGATTGAATGACTTATGAGGGAGGGAGTGGTCTTCTCTCGGGGAGTGACACTGAGGTAGAACGAGAAGAGGCAGCTGTCCTCAAATGCAGATACCCTTCAGTCCACCTCACTGCAGAGTTCTACTTCTTTTTTTTTTTTTTTTTTTTTTTTTTGATTTTTCGAGACAGGGTTTCTCTGTGGTTTTGGAGGCTGTCCTGGAACTCGCTTGGTAGTCCAGGCTGGTCTCGAACTCACAGAGATCCGCCTGCCTCTGCCTCCCGAGTGCTGGGATTAAAGGCGTGCGCCACCAACGCCCAGCGAGTTCTACTTCTAACTGCAGGGTTTTGTTCCTTTGCTTGTTGATTGATTGCTTTGAGAGAGGGATTTACTTTCTTGGTAACCCTGGCTGGTATGGACTGGCTATGATGTAGCCTAGGCTAGCTTGAACTTCAAATGGCCCTTCTGTCTGCTTCAAGAGCAATGGGGTTACAATGTTACCACCACACCCAGCCCTGTTATTTTGTGTTTGGTCCAAAGATTTACTTCTGTTTACATTTAGGGGTGTCTCTGCTTGTGAATGCTCACAGAGGTAAGGAGTAGAGGTCAGGAATCAGAGCGCCTGGAGCAGGCAAAATGGACAGCTTTGAGCTGCTGTGAGGGTACTGGGAGCCAGACTGGAGCCCTCCGCAAGAGCAGCAAGTGCTTTTAACCACCTGTGTGTCAGCACCAGCCCCTCTAAAAGACAAAGTAGAGTCTCATATACCCCAGCCTGATTGGAACTTGCATGTAATGAGGCTTGCCTCTAACTCCCAAAGTATTCCAGGACGACTTTGAACTCCTGCTGGGATTTCAGGTGCACACTCCACCTTGCCTGATACACACAGTGCTGGGGATGGAAGCTGGGGCTTTGTGCATACTAAGCAAGCACTCTATCCACAGGGCCCTGAAGCCAGCCTTCCAGTCTTGTGAGACAGAGTTGAATATGTAGAGCAAACTCACTCACACACTCACACATACACACTCACGCACACACTCTCACTCACACTCACACACTCACACACAAACTCACACACACTCACACACACACACAGTTGCTTTATTTTGGTTTTTGGAAACAGGATTTCTTTGTGTAGCCCAGGCTGTTATGGAACTCACTCTGTAGACAAGGCTGGCCTCTAACTCGTAGATCCACCTGTCTCTGCCTCCTAAGTGCTGGGATTAAAGTCGTGTCACCACCACCCAAGCGAAAAGTTCTGTTAAAATAATGAAATAGCAGCCGGGCGTTGGTGGCGCACGCCTTTAATCCCAGCACTCGGGAGGCAGAGACAGGTGGATCTCTGTGAGTTCAAGGCCAGCCTGGTCTACAGAGCGAGTTACAGGACAGCCTCCAAAACAATACAGAGAAACCCTGTCTCGAAAAAAAAAAAAAAAAAAGAAAGAAAGAAATCAAATTAAAAACTAAGATGGTGACCGGTGACCCAGAAGGAAAAGTACCTGATGACCTGAGCCCTGCAGGTTGCCCCTGACCTCCACACTCACATCCAGGCCTGCGCACCTCCCTCCAGTAAACAGCAACATCGCCTGACCAGTGAACACAGAGAACGCGCCCGATACAGCATGTGCTCATGCACTGCGCAGCGCCCGCTCTCACACACTGCGCTGGCTGCATGTCTGGCAGCCCCGGCAAAACCAGACCCAGGGTGGGTCCTCCCAGTAATGTAGATTCTCCCACATGTTTGCTCCTTAGGGAAACGTTTTCTTAGTGAGTCTAGATCCTACCACGTGGACAATCAAATCAAGATGAACCATTCCCTCTCTCCCTTTCATGCCCCGCCCCCAGCAGAGCAAATTACGTCTCTTCTGAATTTATCACCATGAAGGCTGAGTACCATGACTTGAGACTGCCGTCCTGCTGCTTGAGATGCTTCAGGAGAACTGTCATTGGTTTAGGACAGCCTGGGCTGCACAGTCATTTCCAGGCTAGACTCATCTAAAGTAAGACCCAGTCTGAAACAGACAACAGCAAGAAGAAAAGATTATGTTGGGTGGTGGCAGTGGCACATGCCTTCAACCCCGGCACTTGAGGCAGAAGCGGAGAGGGGTGAAGGCCTAGCTTGTCATGGGAAGCGTTGTTTCCATCTTTAGCACTAGAATAAAGTTTAAGAACTGTCATCTTATGTTGGGTGTGGTGGCGCACGCCTTTGAACCCAGCACTAGGGAGGCAGAGGCAGGCGGATCTCTGTAAATTTGAGGCCAGCCTGGTCTACATGAGTGCCAGGACAGCCAGGGCTACATAGAGAGACCCTGTTTCAAAAAACAAACAAAAAAACTATACCAAACCAAACTAACAAACAGAAAAAGATATTCTGAATAGATGACTGAGGAAAGACCTCCTGTCTTGACCATTCAGCGGTGCGACTCTGACCAGATCTCATCACCCTGTGCTTCAGTGCAGAGGAGAGTAGTCTCCGTGGATTGCTGGGAGAATAAACCAGAAGTGTGTGTATGTGTGTTACTGCTTTGTAGTTTTAAGAGCAGGTGTCTGCCCAGACTGACCTGCAGCTCATTAAGAGCTGAAGATGACTTTGGTCCCCTGAGGATGACCTTGGTCCCCTGAGGATGACCTTGGACCCGATCCTCCACCTCCAGCCCGAGAGCCTGGATGAGACGGGCTTCACCACACCCATCAGGGCTACCATCTAGTTGTTGCTCATTTTGGAGTTTTCTGGGGGAGACCAAGGCTCAGGGAGATGGGAGGCCCTGCTTGAAGTTACACAGACTTAGTCTGTAGCCCCAGAGTCAAGCTGACCCTCCAGCTCCTCACCAGCCCCATTCCTGGGTTCCAGCCAGGGCTGAAAAGAGAGGAGCTGGCCCAGGGCCCAGACCTGCTGTTGCCAGGGCCTTGGGTGAGGGAACCTTGCCTGGGAATCTGTAAGGCTCAAAGAGCTATTTATAGGCCCACTATGGGATCCAGAAAGTTCCTACATCCAGTCTGCAAGGCCTTTTCTGTATCAGGCACCCTGGGGCTGCCATCAGGGGATGGGGTGAGGGAGAGATGAGTGGCCCAGAGACCGTATGGGTGGCAGAAAGCTCCTGGACAGCCATGTCTTGGGGCAGTGTCTCCCTTATTTTCTAGAAATATGGCCAAGGTCACACGTGTATAGTCATGCACAATACCACCAACACCTGAGGAAGCCTGGGAGTTTAAGGCTATTCTTGACTACATAATGACTTTATGCAAGGCTAGTAACACACACACACACACACACACACACACACACACACACACACACACACGGAAAAAAAGGGGGCATAGTGGTGCACATCTTTAATCCCAGTACTTGGGAGGCAGAGGCAGGAGGATCTCTGTGTGTTCTAAGCCAGTCTGGTCTACAGAGCGAGTTACAGGACAGCCAGAGCTACACAGTGAGATCATGTCTCAAAACAAACAAACAGAAAAAACTGGAGAGAGGGAGGTAAAGAGCCTGGTCCCTGTGGCACCCTCCCTGACTTGGGGCCCAGAGAGCTGTGGGAAGGAAGCAGTGCACACACTCCCTGATTTAGGCGAATGAATGGACCACGTTGGCTGCCGCACTGGGAACTCAGAACTACTAATTCCCTGGTGAAACAGGAGGCTCTTTCATGCCCAGGCGCCAGTGGGGTGAGGGGGTGGGGAGAGGGTGGGGGACTGGCCGTGTCCCAGGAGGCCAGGCAGCCTCAAGCCAGGGCCAGGAGCAACATAGGAAGGGTGGTGGCTGGGACTGTACGCAGCCTCTTCAGGCATCATGGCCGTATTTTTGTATTCAGTGCCATAGAGGTGACACCAGACAGCGTGGGCAGGATAACGATGAGCCTGTGCTTGGAGACAGAGCTTGTCTATGAGCCCCATTTCTCACGTTATTGTTACCAGGCGTCAACCCTAACAGCCTGCTTTTCACAGACAGGAAGCTGAGCTCAGAGGTCAAACGTTTGTCTGACATCACACAGCTAAGCTTTTAACTACACACATAGCCCTTGGAGGACAGCTAAGCTGGGTTTGGATGGCAGGAACCCATAACCGAAGTCCTGGCGAGGACATTCTGGCATTTACAGGCTAGCAGGGCAGCCCTCCTGATGGTGACCCACTTACCCTGCCAGCCCCGCTTCCTGGGGTGGGCTTGGGGAGACATTAAGGATGCCCGGCAGTCCTGGTCATAGTGAAAAAGGAAGGATCAGGGACCATCGGGGCTGCTCTAGCTTGGGAGCTTCAGACGTGGGAGTCCACCCTCTCCCCAAAGCTGCTGCTCCACAGGTCTGTCGCCAACTCTACCGCTTTACTTTTCTAATCCCTGGCCTGGAACTCTTTCCTGCCACCCACATGTTCTCTCCAAGAGAGCCCTTCCTTCAGGAGGACTCCCAGCTTCCTAAGCCTGTTTGCCCACGAGGTTCACACCTGAACCCATGAGGTTGGGCTGTTTGTGTCTGGCTTTGTTTTGTTCCCACTGGGCAAACTCCTGTTCATCCTAGAAAGCCCACCTCATGCTGACTCTTTGGACAGCCTTCCATACCTGCTAGGACAGCATTTGCTGAGAGACTTCTCTCTTGGTTTGGTGCTGGCAATGGAACTCAGCACTTTGCACTTCCTGGCAGCGTTCTATCTCTGAACTACATCTGTAGCTGAGTGCTCAACTCAGGCTGCAGCAGGACCCACATGGTGTAAAGAGAAAACCAACTCCTGACACATTGTGTTCTGACTTATACAAATAAATGCATTAAAAATTTAGGAGCTGGGGCTGGAGAGATGGCTCAGAGGTTAAGAGCACTGATTGCTCTTCCAGAGGTCCTGAGTTCAATTCCCAGCAACCACATGGTGGCTCACAACCATGTACAATTCAATCTGGTGCCCTCTTCTGGAGTGTAAACAGAACACTGTATATGTAATAAATAAATCTTTTTAAAAAATTTAGGAGCTGGCTGGGCGTTGGTGGCGCATGCCTTTAATCCCAGCACTTGGGAGGCAGAGGCAGGCGGATCTCTGTGAGTTCAAAGCCAGCCCGATCTATAGAGCAAGTTCCAGGACAGCCCCCAAAACAATACAGAGAAACCCTGTCTCGAAAAACCAAAAAAAAAAATTAGGAGCTGGAGAGTGAACCTGCGTCCAGTTCCCGGCACCCACACTGGAAGACTGGATGTCCTCTGGATGGACAGGTACCAGACATGCATGCTATACCACTCATCACACATTAAAATTTTTTTGTTGGTTTTGTGTTCTGAGACAGGGCTTCTCTGTATATATAGTCTTAGCTGTCCTGGAACTCGATCTGTAGGCCAAGCTAGCCTTGAGCTCACAGATCCTCCTGCCTCTGCCTCCCCAGTGCGGGGATTAAAGGTGTGAGCCACCACTGCCTGACAATAAAATGCTTTTATTTAAAAAATACATTTAAATCCCAGAGTGGGGTATGGTGATGCATGCCTTTTAATCCCAGGGCTCAGGAGGCAGAGGCAGGAAGATTTCTGGGAGTTACAGGCGACTGTTATCTGAATAGCAAGTTCCAGGCAGCCAAGTCTGTACCAGACCCTGACTCAAAAAGCATATTCAAGGGTTTAAGCGTTGGCTCGGTGGTTAAGGGCACTTGTTGGTCTTGAGAAGGACAGAGTCTCACTCAAGCACCAGGCATGCATGTGGTACACAAACATACATGCAGACAAAACACTCATACATGCAAAATAAAGTAAGGAATATATGTTTCAAAACAGGGTTTCTCAGTGTAGCTTTGTAGACCGCCTGCCTCTGCCTCCAGAATGCTGGGATTAAAGGCGTGCACCACCATTGTACGGCTGGAATATATATTTTTAAAAATCCTTTTTTAAAAACAGATCTTGTTAAATTGTCCCTGTTGGCATGTAACATGCAATCCTCCTGCCTAGCCTCCCGAGGCCGCAGGCATCCACCAAGCAGGCCCTGATGGGGTAAGCTGGATTGCGTCCAGGACGAGGGAGGCCCTCCGCAGAGGACACGATCACAGGAAGGCTGTGAGAATGTTTTGTAACCGCGATGGGTACGGTCGGTCTGCGTTCACCCTCCAGCTCCACGGAATCAGAAACCTCAGTGTGCGGGTTCTTTAAGAGGCCAAGCGAAGGCGCCTCAAACCCCGCCCTGGCACCGCGGATGGGGCGGGATCTGTGTTGCACGGAGCGTGCGCCGTCCGCTCGCGATTCCGGGTCTCGGCGTCGGGTCCGCTGATCTGCAGAAGGTCTGGGGCTAGGCTGTAAAGTTTAGGAAGCTGCTTCTGTCTCTCTCCGGGTCCCGAATCGCCCGCCTTGACACGCAGAGGCGACCGGGGAGCCGGCAGCCGGACCAAGTGGGGAGTGGCAGCACACGAGTTCGAACTCGGCTGAGCGCTGGGCAAGGCGTCGCAGAGCCGAGATGAGCCAGTCTTTGGTTTGCCCCGAGACCGTGAGCAGGTGCGACTCGGGGCTGTGGGACGCGGGGTGGTGACAGATGAGCGGTGGTGGCGAGGCGCGCGGGAGCCGCCTGGGGCCAGCCCGGTGCCGGGTGAGCGCCTGCTGGGGGCGGGGCCGGGCAGCCGTGGTCCCGGCTGGGGGCGGGGTCTAGCGGCTGTGGTCCCGGCTGGGGGCGGGGCCGGGCGGTGGCGTCCCTGCCGGGGGCGGGGCCTGGCGGCCTTGCTCCTGACTGTAGCGGAGTGGGCGGGGCGGCCTGGCCTGGAGGGAGGCTCCCAGCCCTGCTCCTGTCCTGCAGGGTGAGTTCTGTGCTCCATCGAAACAGCCGGCAGTTTGGGAAGAAGCATCTTTTTGACCAGGACGAGGAGACATGCTGGAACTCTGACCAGGTGAGCGCCTCCGCGCCCCTCCATGCCGAGTGTGAAGCAGATTCAGGGTGCGGGGTGCCTGGATAACTGAGGAGACTTAAAAGGACGGCATGCCACTGTTCCTGGGCTGGCTGTGGCAGACCTTGAAAGATGAGCAGAGCATAATGGGCCCTTAGCGGCAGCTACAAGTACCTCAGTTTACCCCTCTGCTTCCAGGGCCCCTCCCAGTGGGTGACACTCGAGTTTCCCCAGCGTGTTCACGTCATGCAGCTGCAGGTGCAGTTCCAGGGCGGCTTCTCCTGTCGCCACAGCTACCTGGAAGGTACTGGAAGGCCGGGAGAGGTGGGCGTGTGAGGTGGGCTGTGAGGGCTCCCTGACTCTCAGCCTGCCTTTCTCCACTGCAGGGTCACAGTCTGGGGACACACTCAACAAGATTGTGGACTTCTACCCCGAGGACACAAACGCCCTTCAAATATCTTGCTTGGCCTGGGGTATGAGCTTTTGTAGGGTGTGTTGGTACGGGCACCGGGAGGCTGTGGTGAAGGATCTAGAATGTTAGGCCAGCCTGGCCATGTAACCATGTCTCAAAAGAATTAAAGCCTTGTGCACCTGAGTAGGAGCCATTGGATGGAGCTTCAGTGCTCCAGAGGTAGCAGCAGGGTCAGGAGTTCAAGGTCATCCTCAGCTACACAGTGAGTTTGAAGCCAGCCCAGGCTACCTGGGACCCTGCGGCAAAAAAGTAAGGTGCCTGGTGGTGGTGGCATACACTTTTGATCCCAGCACTGGGGAGGTAGGTGGATCTCTGTGAGTTCTGGGACAGACAGGGCTACGCAGTAAGACTGCCTGGGGTGTGTGGGGGGTGTGGGGTGGGGTGAAGAGGAAATGCTGTTGATTGCTTGCTGGGAATGAGAGGCACCAAGATTCTGGAGTCACCTGGTCTGTTTGGGTGGCATCTGAACTGGGAAGGTGGGATTGGGGGTCAGAAACAAAGTCACCATGTCCTTGACTGCAAGAGATCACACCTTCTCCATCCCCACTGTGGAGGTGGACCGTCTGAAGTTGACCTTTGAGGACACCACCGACTTTTTCGGCCGTGTGGTCATCTACCACCTGCGGGTGCTGGGTGAGAAAGCAGTGTAAGCGCTACCGGCGGCCACCTCCTCCAGGAAGCCCGCCCCGGGAGACACCCAGAAGCCCTTCAAGTTCACAGATTTATTGGTTCCTGTTGGGGAGGGCCTTTCCCACCACTGTCCAGGAGCTGCCTCAAGCCGGTTGTGGAGACTGTTTTTCCCTGAGTGCCTGGGTTCCCAACAGGCTGTCTTCACTCGGGGTCCGCAGGCCCCAGAGTACTCTGGAACAGTTTCAGGATGTGGCTCTCCATCACCTGTTGCACTGTGGGAGGAGGTGTGAGCGGGTGAGCTGACTACAAAGGATGTTCAACCTCAGATGTGAAAAGGAGGCCATGCCGTGAGCAGGAGTGACGGGGGCCCAGGGTGGCTCAGTCCAGCCTGGAACCCTTCACAGCTGGGCAGGGCGGGGCAGGACTATCTTGAGAATAGGCTATTTTAAGACCAGGCTGCCTCGCTCCCCTCCGCTATCCTGCTCTTGCAAAGCAACACCAGACCTCAGCCAATGACCACACAGCTGTAGATCTCCTAGCCTCCAGAGCCATAAATCCAAATACAACTTTTTTTAAAATCAAAACACCCTCTCTCTTGTATTCTGTTACAGTAACAGAAACAGAAGTTTGGGGTGGCTTCAGTGAAGTGCTCCATCCAGCACTAGGAGGCAGGGTGTGTGTCTGGGGCAGGAGGACTAAGATCTACAACCTACCCTGGGGCTATTAGTATCTGTGAGAGTGGCTTCCATCCTGCCAGAAGCCAGGGTGCAGTGCCGGGCTGCCCTGTGCCTAGGGGCATCCTGTGTACCCTCTGTGCCACCCCACACACAGCCTTTCAGCCCACCTTTGCGGTGTCCCAGGGCCACAGCGAGGTCCATTGGGGTGTAGCCAGAGTCTGCCTCTGTGGTGAGGTCGGCACCCCGGGCTGCAAGGTGGAGCAAGCGCTGGCACAGGGCTGCTCTGGGATTGGGAGCCATGGCAGGCGACTGCAGGGCTGCAGTGAGGCCCTCCCCACGGTACAGCTGCAGGCCTGCAGTCGGCCCACCCCACAAAGGACAGGGCTTAGAGTCTCTGGGGCATGGGGGGTGGGGCAGGGGGGTGGGGCAGCTCAGTATGGCTGACTCAGCCGAACACAAAAGCCCAGACTACTCTGCCTCCTCTTGTCTACTCTTGGAGTCCACGATTCCCAAAGGGCCCCGTGGTCTCCTACTCACCCAGTAAGGCCTCCACACACTTTACATGGTTCCCACGCACAGCGTAGAGCAGTGGTGTCCCCCCCGTTCTGTGGGATAAGACTAGGTGAAAACCAACGCTGGGTCTCTGCTCTGCCCCTGCCGTCTGGCTGCCAATTCAGGCCACTTCCTGCCTGCCACATGGCTTTCTCCATCCTGTGTCTCTTAGACACCCATTCTTCCAGGAAGCCCTCCTGACTTAGCTTCTTTGGGGCTCCTGCCATTACTGCACTATTCATGGCTCTGCACATCTGTCTCCAGACAGTGGGAGCTCTTATCAGGCGTGATGACCGTTGTCCTGCGTTCCCAGAGCCCAGGGCAGGCCCGGCACCTCACAGGACCCCATGTGGAGCAGAGTGGAAGCCAGGGGTCTGACAGGCCGGGGGTGGGGTGGCAGTGCCTCACCCAATCATAGGTGTTGATGTCCACGTCCCTCTCGAGTAACAGCCTCACAATGTCCGTGTAGCCGCCCATGCTGGCAAGCGACAGGGCGCTCTCCCTCTCCTTGGCCAGGATGTGGGGGTCAGCACCCTAGGAAAGCAGACCAGGTAGCGATGGGATCCCTGAACTCTTGGGGTCCCACCTCAAAGACAGCTGTTTCCGAGCTGAGCCCCACTGTCCTTGCGTCCCCAGGACATACCCAGTCTAGCAGGAAGCGAACTGTCTCAATTTCTCCAAAGGCTGAGGCCCAGATGAGGGGGGTGAAGCCACGCTCATCTTGTTTGTTGATCAGGTTGTCACCTGACAAGTGGGAGGGACATGGGGTGGGGATGGCAATGCCAGCTCTCATGAGTGGGGTGGGCAGGGTTCAGGGGGAACATGAGGGGGACATATACAAAACACACGCACACAGAAGCCGCTCCCCAAACCAGTTCCCCTACCAGACAGCCCGTGCAGGCCCGCACACACAGGACACGCACCCTTCTGCAGATGGTCCTTCAGTTGGCTCAGCTCCCCTTGAGCTGCAAGCTGGTGGATAGACAGGGCTGGGGCCAGAGACAGGCAGAGTTCACCTTCCATCCCCTCCCCAGGCTCAGTTTACCCTGTTCAAAATCGATCTATTTGTTTTTCGAGAGAGGGTCTCATGTAGCCCAGGCTGGCCTGCAACTTGCTATGTAGCCCAGGATGACCTGGAATTGCTGATCCTCTTGAGTGCTGGGGTGAGTTTATGAGGAGCCTGAGGTCAGCTCAACCCTGGGGATGCTGCTGAGGCAGTCCACCAGCTCAGCCAGTCCCTCCATCCCTTGTAGCCTTTCTGGTCCCGGTTGGCCTCCCACTCAGTAAGTAGCCAGGGATGACCTTGAAGTGACCGCCCCTGCCTCCACCTCCCAAATGCTGGGCCATGGGGCATCATGCCAGGCTTGTGAGGAGTCCTCTACCCCTCCCCCTCCAGCACTACTCACAATCCAGAGTGGCTGGCAGCGCCGAGACCTCGTTCCCACGTTGCCGGTTTGTGAGGGTTGTTGAATGCTTCAAGAAGCTGCCTGCAGGGAGACGAAGGGGCTGTTTCCCTGGTGTCTGTGTGTGTCTCCCCCTGTCCAGACATACGCTGCAGCTTAAAAAGGCCACCCTGTGATCTCCATGTGTACGCCAACACCCACACGGATGCTAACAGTAAATCAAACAACCGTTGTAAATGAAGGGCAAGGGAGTAAGGCCTAATGGTGCAGGCCACATTCCAGCTACTCAGGAGGCTGGGGCGGGCGTCACAAGTCAGCCAGCCTGGGCTACACAGCGAATTCCAGGTCAGTTGCGACTACTGTGTTAAAGAAATAGAAGGAGGCTGGGCAGGTGGTGGTGCAGCCTTTAATCCCAGCACTCGGGAGACAGAGGCAGGCGGATCTCTGTGAGTTCGAGGTCAGCCTGGTCTACAGAGCGAGTTCCAGGACAGCCAGGACTACACAGAGAAAGCCTGTCTCGAAAACCAAAACATAAAAAGGCCACAGAACAAATAGGCTTAAGGGGCATACACCCATAGCCCCAATCCTGGGGAGGGAGAGGCAGGAGGGGAAATCACAAGTTTGAGACCATCTTGGGCAACACAGTGAGATCCTGCCACAAAAGAAAGAAGGGAAGAGAAAAAGCAGGTAGAAGGTGCTAGACAGACAGGACAGGAGCAAGTCTGTTCTGACAAGATGGTAGAGCAGGTGGCTCAGGTGACCCCACGTGGATCCAGCAAGCACAGGGGAGAGATGCAGAAGGACACAGGTCCTCCTGTGATACCAGATTAGATGTGTTTAAGGACTACAAGGAAGCCTGGACTCAGAGCATTCCAAGTAAGGAAATAGAGGAGGAAAGGAAAGACCAACTCTGTGTGGTCAGAGGTCAAACTCAGGTGTACCCTTCCGGAGCTGTCTACCTTTTCTTTTGAGACAGGCTAGGGGCTCACCATTTGGGCTAGGCTGACTGTCAGTCAGGTCCTGGGACCCCCCTGTCTCCACCTCCTCAGCATGGAACTGCAAGTGTGTTTTACCATACCGGCCTTGTCTCTGGATGCTTAGGATTGAGGCCCTGTGTTCCCAGGGCAGCATTATCTGACCCAGTCATCTCTGTGGGAACCTTCCTGGCTTTTGAGACAAGGTCTTGTGTAGCCTAGGTTCTCTCTGTAGCTGAGGATAACCGACAGCCAAGTTCAAATGAAAACTTGGTGCTTGGAGCAATTCCCAAGAGCACAAAAGAACCTGGGGGGTGGGCAGAGAGCTGGCTAGGCAGCTAAGAGTGCCAGTTGTTACTGCAGAGGACTGGAGCTCAGTTCCCAGCACCACAGTGGCAGCTCACAGATACCTGTAACTCCAGCAGGACCAATGTCTTCTGTGCATGCACACACACACACACACACACACACACACACACACGCACACACACGCACACACACACACAATATTTTTTTGAGATATTCACTATGGAACTCTGGCTGGCCTAGAACTCACTATTTGGACCAGGTTGGCCTTGAACTCACAGAGATCTGCCTGCTTCTGTCTCTATGGTGCTGGGATCAAAGGTGTGTGCCCTGGCTGCTTAGTAGCACTGGAGGGCAAAGACAGGTAGAGCCTCAGAGCTCATTAACTAGCTTAATCAGTGAGCTTCAGGTTTGGTCAGAGATCCTGTCCTGAACATCAGGTAGAGGCCAGAGAGACGGTTCAGCTGGTAAAGACACCTGGTTTTGGCTTCAGGACCTGAGTTCCATCCCTAGGACTCATGAGGCAGGAAGAGAGAACTTGCCCCGCAAATTGCCTTCTGACCTCCATATGTGAGCCATGGCCTGTTCATACACATGCACATACACAACATACACACATGGACTAAATAAATGTAGTGTAGAAAGTTAGGGGTTGCAGCAATGTCTCTCTGGGGTTCAAGAGGTCCTGTTTGATCTGCAGCATCAGCACTGGGGAGTCCATGGATTCAGAAGCCCTCTTCTGGCTCCCTCAGGCACTGCGTGCATATACGTGCAGGCAAAACACAAAAAACACTTAAAAACCCTTCAAATCCTCTTAATTGAGATGTACTGATTTTACTTTATGAGTATGTTTCGCCTGCATGAATGTGTGTGTATGATGTGTATCTGATGTCCTCAGAGGACAGAGGAAGTCATTGCATCTCTGGGGGAACTTGAATTGAAGCTGGAGTTAAGATGGTTATAAGCCACTCTGCCGTTGCTGAGAATTGAACCCAGATCCTCTGAAAAAAAAAAACAAAAACAAACAAGTGGTCTAAACAACCCAGCTATCTCTCCACCTATCCTCACCACACCTTTTTAAGACAGGATCTCTCTAAATGACCTTGTCTCTCCTGGAACTCCCTATGTAGACCAGGTTGACCTCGAACTCACAAAGATCTGTCTGTTCCTATCTCCTGAGAGCTGGGATTAAAGATGTGTGCCAACCATGCCTGGCAAATCTTTAAAAACTAAAATAATATGGTGGGCAAGTCAATGAATAATAGAACACATCAACACTTGGTCTTCATGCATGTGCACACTACCCTCAGGAACATGCACACACACACACACAATCTAGGAGGGTAGGAGGGGAACAGAGATTTGATGTGGAACCTGATGTCCCCCTCACCCTGTGACGAGGGTGCACTGGCATCTGCTTCAGGATTCACAGCCTCTGGGGTGCAGGGGAACAGACTGAGGACCACAGTGTCTGAGCTGTCCGGGAATTCGTCTCTGGGGTCCTCAGGATCCTCAAGTTCAGGCGTGGGGGACTGCTGGTTTGGGATGAGCTTCTCTGAAAGCTGAGTGGGCTCCATGGGGGGAGCTGGAGGGAAGACAGGACAATAATTATCAAAAGCTCTTGAGCCCCCATGATGACTCAGCTTGACACAAAGCCAGATGACCTAAGATCGATTCCAGAAACCCACACGGTGGAGGGAAAGGCCCTCTGGCCACCACACCAGCTCCATAGTACACCCCACCCCCAAATAAAGGGATACTTTACTTCTTGTCGTGGCTGGCACTGGTTAGGTCGGGCTTGATGGCCCACACCTTTAATCCCAGTACTCAGGAGGCAGAAGCAGGTAGACAGATCCCTTTGAGCTTGAGGCCAGCGTGGTCTACATAGTAACTTCCAGGACAGCCAGGGCTAGAGACCCTATCTCGATACAGATACATAGTTGTGTAGTGTGTGTTTATATAGTTATACGCATACACGCGGGCGCGCACACTAGGCATGGTCTGCATACTCAGCCTTGCCTGGTGAGGATGGGAAACTTAAGGCTCTGGATAATTGCCATTGACAACAAATTAACACCAGAATCCCCGGCACTTGCGCTGGCAATAAAATCGGAGTTCGGGCAGCAGCCTGGGTTCAAATCCCCTCACTTACAAGCTGTGAAAACCTGGGCTATGACTAAGCCGAGCCTCAGTTTTCTCCTCAGTAAGGAGAAGGAACGAGGCCTCAGAGAGGTCGAGTCAGAAAGCCGCATAGAGACACTAGCACCAAGCTTATCAGTGCCCTCTGTGGTTATTTGAGTCGGGGCCCTCCAAAATGACTTAGGGCTCAATAAAAGATGCGACTCAGGAGGTCCACTCACCTCCCTCCAGCCTCCTCCGTCCCCCTACGCTGCAAGCCTGGGTCTCCCAAAACTCGGGAATCTCTAGTCACAAACTTTTCTGGTCCAGTGGATCTAGTGAGGTGCAAATTGGTGACCGGACGCTCGGCACTCTAGCTTCCTCTGCCGGGACAGAGAGCAGCAACTTAGGACGCGATGACTAGTCCGACCGGAGAACTCGCCACTGCGCCTGCGCACCCCTCCCCAGGAAAAGTGCCGAGACCCGAAGCGGCTTCCAGCCCTTTAAGATCGATCCAGGAGGGAGGGGCACGGCTTCCGCTGGGGCCCGCAAGCACAGCGGCGCACGCGCGCGTCCCCCTTCCGTGGGGCCGGAGGCGCGCGGCCCGGCGGAGGGGTCCACGGCGCATGTACGGCCTCTGGTGCGTTTTATCGCCCCCACCGCTCCCGCAGTCTTCCCCAATCGCAGCCGCTCGCCGCTGGGAGGGCGGAGACTCGTGGGCGGGGCTTATTGCGCTTAAAGGGCCCGGGTGTCACGGGGATAGCAGTGTGTGCGGGGTTACGGTGGCGGCAGGGAGTCCGTGACTCGGTGTCCTAGAGCCTCGAGAAGCCTCATGCTACCGCACGCTCGCCTGGGGCTGCTTTCTGTCTGAGTAGACGCTGGCGCGAAGAGGGTCAGCGAACACTGAACTGGAGGTTTGCTGCGGCCGCTTCGACCCGGAAAGTCTAAGCAGACGTCCCAGTCTCCCGACTTCCGGTTCCGGTTTGGGGGCGCTGCCTGGCCGCCTTCGCGATGGAAGAACCAGAGATGCAGCTGAAGGGCAAGAAAGGTGTTGCGGGACCCCGGGCGGCTTGGAGGGCAGTGCGGGCTCGGCGAAAAAGGAAGGCCGGTGTCTCCCGGCGGGAGGTGGCGTGACAGCCACGGTGACCCGGGCCAGGGAAGGCTCTCTCTGTGTTTGTGTTTTGAGACAAGTATGGGGCCCTGTCTTGGAACTCGCTGTGTAGACCAGGCTGGCCTCTAGCTCCTCTGCCTCCCGAGAGCTGGAATTAAAAGCGTGCACCCCATGCTCGGTTTAATTTGCTTTTTATCCTGTGAGCACGTAAACGAGTGTGCGGGCTTGGTGGCGCGATCCTGTAATCTTTACTCGAGGCAAGACTCGAGAAGAGCTGGGGCCGTGGCTCAATGTGAGCACTTTGCCCAGAATGTCCAAGGCTCCGGGTTTGATCCCCGACGTTGCAAAACAAATAAAGACCGGATAAGTAGGTAATTCTCTTTGGCTGGTGGAGCCCTGGGCGATAACAAAGCAGGGCGTACGTCATTTTTGCCTTGGGAGTTGGCGCCATCTGCCGCCTGTAGCTGGGACTGTTGTCAGACTTGGTGTAGTACAGGCTGGAGAGGGGTCATTTGGAAGCAGCAGCATCTTTGATGGGTGGAGCCAGAAGGTTGGAGACTTGGCTGATTGGAAAGCCCTTGCTAGAAGTCTACTCTGGGATGATGGTTTATGTGCAGTTTACTTGTGGAAGAAACCTGAGTTCCGGGGGGGAAAGGGAAGCAGGTGGGCTTTACGGGAACTTGGATGGGTTGTGTCAGTAGGCATCCTGCTATGGTAGGGCTTGTGGTGGGGTATACCTTAGATTGTTCCAACAGCAGGGGATGTGAGCTTCCACACCATTCCTGTCCTGCATCCTCTGGTCAGCTGGGCATGGTGGTACACGCTGCTCCTCCCAGCACTTGGGAGGCAGAGGCAGAAGGATTGCTGTGAGTTTGAGGACACCCTGGTCTGCATAGTGAGCTATAGGGAATCCAGAACTACTGGATTCCAGTATGATGTTCCACACTGGTCTCTTGTATGATGTTATAAAGGAGGTCAAGGGGTCTCAGTGGCATTAGTGCTGTTCACCAGTGGGGAGGTGGGGGTGGGGGGGGAAGACTGTGAGTTCAGTGTGTGCTCATGCCCCTTTGAGTTAGGCCCTGCCGTTGCTCTCTCTAGCTGTCCCTGGGCCTGTGGATGACAGTTACAGCAGTGTTCCCTGGCAGCTCCTCTCCTGGTTGGGCTCAAAGACTGAACAGTCTAGAGGCCAGTGTGGGCTAGGGCTCAGTTGGCAGAGCCCCTGCCTAGCATGAGTGAAACTGGGTGCCGTGCATCTGCCATCCCAGCACTCGGGTGGAGGCAGGACGATTGAGAGTTCATAGTCATCCTCGGTGCTAAAGTCTGGCCTGGGCTGCACATGACCCTGTCTTTTTAAAACAATTTATTAAAGAAGCTAGAGATGTCTCGGTAGTTAGGAGTGCTTAATGACCTTACAAATGACTGGAGTTTGGTTCCCAGCGATCACATTGTGCAGCCCACACAACAACCTGTAACACAGCTCTTCTGGTCTCCATGACACTGCATTTATATGTATATACACGCACATACACGTGGTTCAAATACAGTAAATACAAGGCTCTAACACTTGTCCCCTCTTCCCATCCCCACCATATCAAACCCAGTCACAGACAAGTTCACTGAGAGTGTGTATGTCCTGGCCAATGAGCCGTCAGTGGCCCTGTACCGGCTACAGGAACACGTGCGCCGCTCACTGCCGGAGCTGGCCCAGCACAAGGTGAGTTCTGCCAACCTTGCAGGATCTCGCCCAAGTCCAGGCAAAGCCCCTGAGCAGATGTGGTGCTGTATGCGGAGGGGCTGAAGTCAGAGCAGAGAAGCTGGTGGGACGGCCCGTGGCAGCTTAGGCTTTGGGTGGCTTTTGAAGGAGACAGCATGTCTATGTTAGTGACCAGCACGGTGACGAAAGAGCCCAAGGGAGGGTGTGCCAGGCAGGAAGAATAGCCAGTGCCAAGGGCTTGAGGCCTGCCAGTCACAGAGTCCTCAGGGGAAGAGGACTGCAAGAGGGAGTCTCTGCTCTGAGCAAGGAGTGGGTTCTGTCATAACACTGGTTTCCCTAGAGCCTTCCTCCTAACGCTCCACCGTCCTGCAGGCTGACATGCAGAGGTGGGAGGAGCAGAGCCAGGGCGCCATCTACACCGTGGAGTACGCCTGCAGGTGAGACGCCCTGTGTCTGTCACAGACCCCTGTTCCGGGTGGGGTGTAGCTCACTGGGTAAAGTGGTTGCTGTACAGGGAGCTCCACTGAAGCACCCTTGTTGACAGTTGGTGTGCGCCAGCAAGTCCAGCTCTGAGGAGGTGGAGGCAGGAGCATGCCTAGAGCTCCCCTGGGCAGCTAGTCCCATCAGTGAGTTCCTGGTTCAGTGAGAGATTCCTAGTTCAGGGACTAAGACTCAGTTGATAGATGCTTACCTCAAAAATAAGGTGGAGAGCACTTGACGAACACGCCCAGTGTTGACCTCTGTCCTCTACACACCCGCAAACACGTGTTCACACGTAAGCCACACAGACACAAAAATTAACTTCCCCCCAGCTGAGGGGTAGCACAGAGCTTGAGACAGAACCACAGTTGAGGGGGTCAGGGTTGCCTTCTACCCTGAGCTGTGCCCTCCAGTACCCAGCCCGGGCAGCAGGACTGACATGCCTACCACTTCTTCCTGCCATGCTGGTTTTGAGTTGGGCGTTGGTGTGTCTACAGGCTTAAGCAGTCCCTCTGCCTCCGCCTCCGCCTCCGCCTCCGCCTCCCTAGGAGCTGAGGTCATTCTCCTCATGACTTCTGCTCACGCATGAGATTTTATTCAACAGCATGTGTGTGTGTGTGTGTGTTAACAATTAAAAAGAGATTTCATGTCTTCAGAGAGGCAGGGGGATCTCTGTGAGTTCAAGACCAGCCTGGTCTACAGAGCGAGTTCCAGGACAGCCAAGACTGTTTCACAGAGAAATGCTGTCTCGGGAAACCTCCTCCCCACCTCCCTAAAAAGGAGAGGTTTCATGTCTGCCAGAGACCTCATCCTTCTGAGGGAAAGGACACCTGTTAGCCCAGTGACTGCTGTGGGTGCAGCTTTACAGGGATGGAGCTGCTCTTTACCAGTGTTTATAAGGTGGCTGGCTGCATGACTGTGCTTTGTGGATTTGACGTGTATAGATCAGGCATGGTTATACATGCCTGTCTTCCCAGGACTGGGGGAGGCTGAGGCAGGAGGATCCCGAAGCCAGCCTGGGCTGTAGAGAGACTCCATGTCTAAATTATACAAATCTTTTGTTTGTTTTGTTTTTCGAGACAGGGTTTCTCTGTGGTTTTGGAGGCTGCCTCTGCTGCCCACGTGCCACCACCACCTGGCAACATGAAGCCTCTTTAATTGTTAACAGTTAACAGTGTTAAAGACTGAGCCCACCTCCGCAGCTCCTCAGTGAGGGCTCCCAGGCTGCTGGTGTGCCCAGGGTAGGGACCGTGGTAGCCTTTACTGATCCTCACTGCCTCTGTTCCAGTGCTGTGAAGAGCCTGGTGGACAGCAGCGTGTACTTCCAGAGTGTGGAAGGCCTGCTCAAACAGGCCATCAGTATCCGGGACCACATGAACACCAGCGCCCAGGGCCACAGGTAGCAGCCACCTGCCCCCACCCCAGCCTCTGTCACCACCCTAGCCAGTGAGCTGTCCAGCTGTCCTTGGCATCTGTGCACAAATATCCTGTAACCCAGCTGCCTGTGAGGAGCACAGCAGTGCCTGATTGACAGACTCACAGGGACAGTGATCAAGAAACACGGGTCAGCGGACCTGTGTGGGCGAGGAGCAGCCTTCTGGCATCCCCAGGAATGTGACCAGAGCAAGGCCCTGAGTTGGCACTCGGGTCCCATAAAAGGAACAAAAGGGATGATTTAGTGGGAAGTTGAGCTTGGCTGGGTTTCTCCAGGTGAGGTCCAGTGAAACGAAAGCGCCACTGGCCTCGGAGTTTGTGTTGGTGTAACGCAATAAACGCATAGCTGCCCTGCACCGCTGTCAGCGTCTTTAGCTGGCCTCCACCAACTCTGGCCTGTTGCTGGAACGAGAGGAGCCACTGTAGAAAGCACCACAGACCCCTCCTCGCCACTCCTGCATCTGCAGCCCCATCTGTCCAGGAAGCCTGGCCTGGCCTCTGGAGTAGGTACTAACCCACCCTTAGAGCAGATCCAAGAACTCAGGCCATGGCCTTGCGGGGACCAGGGTGTGACTGCAACCGCCAGCCAGCACAGCTGAGCTGAGCCATCAGTCTCCTGCGTCCCAAATGGTTTGTTCCGTCCCCTCCTGTGGCCTGACCCTGACCCCAGAAGACTCTCTGGGCCACCAGCTTCTCCACCAGGTCAGTGCAGAGGCTGCCACTCTGCTGAGCTAAGCCGTGTCCTTGTGTCCCTGCAGGGACCTGCTGCCCAACTGTTGGGTTCCCTAGCTGCTCTTCTGGGATGGGTACTGGGGGATTGTCTTGGAGGGTCCTACTCTGAATCTCTGCTGTTCACGCCTCTTGTGCCTCCTCTCCCTCCTGAGGTGGAGGCCTGCCTCTCATGCCCTGACCACTCAGCTGTCATGTGGTCTTCAGCCATGTAAACATGGCTCATCCAGCTGAAGCCACGTGGTCAGTGACAGCTGTGTCCATGCAAGAGAGAAACATCCAAAATCCTAACCCTTCCAATACTGTATACTGACCAGCCTCCAATACTGTAAATTCACCAGCCCTTCCAATACTGTAAACTCACCAGCCTCCAATACTGTAAACTCACCAGCCTCCAATACTGTAAACTCACCAGCCTCCAATACTGTAAACTCACCAGCCTCCAATACTGTAAACTCACCAGCCTCCAATTCTGTAAACTCACCAGCCTCCAATACTGTAAACTCACCAGCCCTTCCAATACTGTAAACTCGCCAGCCTCCAATACTGTAAACTCACCAGCCTCCAATTCTGTAAACTCACCAGCCTCCAATACTGTAAACTCACCAGCCCTTCCAATACTGTAAACTCGCCAGCCTCCAATACTGTAAACTACCAGCCCTTACAATACTGTAAACTCACCAGCCCTTACTGTATACTGACCAGCCCTTACAATACTGTAAACTCACCAGCCCTTACTGTATACTGACCAGCCCTTACAATACTGTAAACTCACCAGCCCTTACTGTATACTGACCAGTCCTTACAATACTGTAAACTCACCAGTCCTTACAATACTGTAAACTCACCAGCCCTTACTGTATACTGACCAGTCCTTACAATACTGTAAACTCACCAGTCCTTACAATACTGTAAACTCACCAGCTCTTACAATACTGTAAACTCACCAGTCCTTACAATACTGTAAACTCACCAGCCCTTACAATACTGTAAACTCACCAGCCCTTACAATACTGTAAACTCACCAGTCCTTACAATACTGTAAACTCACCAGCCCTTACTGTATACTGACCAGTCCTTACAATACTGTAAACTCACCAGTCCTTACAATACTGTAAACTCACCAGCTCTTGCAATACTGTAAACTCGCCAGCCCCTGATGCTGCTTTACGCTGCACACAGTTGGGTGCTTCCTCTGGCCTTGGCCTGTTGCTGTGTTGCGGGGTGGTGGTGGGGGTCCTGGGTTCCCTCACCACCTCAAGCAGAGGGGCTCATCCATGGCCCCCACTGGTACTGACCATCCTCTGCTGTGCAGGCCCAGTGGGTGTGTAGGGACTGCCTCACAGCCCCAGAGCCCAGAGGCAGCAGAGTACACTTCCTGGGCAGTACAGTAAGAGACCACTGATTGGGTGGTGAGGTCACCGGTCATTAATTAGGCACCTCACCTGTACTGTCAGCATTGCTTAAGCTCCTTGTGTAGCAAGAACTTATTGGGTACCAATCAGTTCTTATTGGGTACCAATCACCGAGTGTCTCAGCTTGCCAGTGCCAGGTTTCTGGGCACTCACCAGCTGTCACCCCCACCACAGGAGAAGGGCAGTTCTTCACTCGAGAGTCGCATGGGGCCTCTGGGAGGACCCGATGCTAGAAGGGCTCTCAGGTGTGCGCACTGGGATCCTGTCAGTCCTGGTGTGCTCTTACCCCATGCCCAGTTCACACTTGGGCACCCCTCATTGCTGCCCCAGCCCATGTCTGGACACCCCTCATTGCTGCCCCAGCCCGTGTCTGGACACCCCTCATTGCTGCCCCAGCCCATGTCTGAGCACGTGTCCCCTGTTCTGCTCACCTGGTGGTGTCCTGGGCTCCTCTGGATCCCAGTTTCAGCTCTACAGACTTCTTCATCTCCCTGGGATTGCCACCCGTGTCCCCCAAAGCCACTGTCCTCAGATCACCAGTGGCCTTCATGGGATCAGATCCTCACTGCCTGTCTAGACCCACGACCTTCAACAGTCTAGAAGAGGAACTGGCTTGGTGGTGAGACAGCCCGCCTCAGCTACTGCCCTGCCTGCAGGGGCCAGGGTTCAGATCCTGGCTTTCTGACCCTTAGCTCCCCGCCCCCACCTCCACCCCTGGCCTTTCAGAAGCAGGCCCTTGGACACCACACTGAACAGCTAGTAAGGTGGCCAGTGTCTGGTATATCCTAGCTCAGCCATAATTGCCTACCCCCACCATGAACCAAGATCATTTCCAGCAGCACCCCAGGGCAATCTTGGTGAATATACATTGAATGTTCAGAAATTGTTCTTTCGTGATGGGGTTACATGACCTACTTCATGTCACATAGCTGAAGAACAGACCCTGACCCTGCCTCTGACGAGTGCTTCAGTGCTGGCTTCTCTGAGGTCGGGGTGGACACATCTCCCTGTCTAGCCTCTTGGGAGCCACTGATAATTGTCTACCACCTGCATCCAGGGCAGGACCTGAGTCCCTGACTTGGCCACTCGCTCCCATCCCCTGGTCACGATGGGCCTACAACTGGGCCTGGGTTCCATCCCCAGAATCACATGTACACCAAACAAACAACTACAATAAAAACCCCACAAATTCCAACCAAAACATTGCCAAAGCAGGAACAGTATATCACAGCCTGCCTAAGACCCCAGATAAGCCACGTACAGGAGGGGTCACCAAACCCAGCTGTGTGCCAGCCAGACATGTTAGTCACCTAAGTACTTGCCTCACAACCCTGAGGACCCAAGTTCAGGCATCAGCACCCGCATTATTAAAGCCAGGCATGTGGACAAAGCTTGTGGCCCCAGCAACACCCACACACACCTGCTTCCGTAGATGCACATGCTACTAAATGTAAGAAGCATCCCCAGGACTCAGCCACTGAAACAACTGGGTGCTCTGAACTTTAGGGGATGGGCCTGGGTGCTTCCAGGGCTCCTTGACACCCCCAGGCCCTGGATGCCCCCTCACCTGGCAGCTGTCACCTTTCAGAGGTTCCAGGGCAGGACTGGTCTGTCCCCACCTCAGCACCTGTTGCCTAGGCCGCCCAGGAACATGGTTAATTTACATCTCATTTGCACCCCCCTCCCAGAGCAGAGTCTTGGTGGGTATGCATAGTGCTGCCCCCGCAAACCTGGCAAAGGCTCCTGCTCCTTTGAAAGTGAGCTGAACCTTCAAGGGACCAGGGCACTCAGCAAGCCTTTTTCTTTTTTTTTCCCCCTGAGACAGGGTTTCTCTGTGACTTTGGAGGCTGTCTTGGAACTTGCTGTGTAGACCAGACTGACCTCAAACTCACAGAGATCCACCTGCCTCTGACTCCCCAGTGCTGGGATTAAAGTCTTTGCGCCACCAACACCTGGCCACTCAGCAAGCCTTACATCAGTTTCCACACTGCTCCAACCAAAGCTCACAGCCTTCCCTCCCCACAGTCACTTGGAGACAGGTGGTGACCTTTCTGTGCCATGGGGTATCCGAGAAGGAATAGCAATCCTGGACTAGGAGTAACCTGGAAGGGGCTGACCTTGAGTGAGAAATAGGCTCCAGGCCTGTCAGGGCCAAAAGGGAACCCATAGTGGTCTGTGCTTATGGCTTTTAAAACTTCTTTTACATTTATTTTACTGGGGAGGGGTGCATTAACATCACGGCACAGGTCAGAGGACAGCCCAGGGCACCCTTCCACCACGGGGATCAAACTCAGGTCTCCTGGTTGGGCAGCTAACACCTTTACCCACGGGACATCTCACAGATCTTGAATGTATTTCTTTTTAGACAGGTTCTTTCTATGTAACCCAGGCTGACCATGAGCTTAAGACCCTGTCCATCCTTTGTGCTGAGATCACAGCCCAGCACTACCAGGCCAGCTATGCTAGCTTTGTAATATTTCACTGTCAAGTCCAAATGAGGCTTTTTATATACTTTAGAGATTTACTTTATTTTTAGTTTTGCATATGTGTGTGGGTATTCAGGAGTACAGGTCTCTACCGAGGTCAGAAGAGGCGCTGGATTCCCTGGAGCTAGAGTTAAGGTTGGCTGTGAGCCCCCATGTGAGTGCTGGGAACTGGTCAGCCCCCCCCCCCGCAGGGACAGAGTACTCTTTTTTTTTTTTTTTTTTTTTTGGTTTTTACGAGACAGGGTTTCTCTGTTTTGGAGGCTGTCGGTCCAGCCTGGCCTCGAACTCACAGATATCCGCTTGCCTCTGCCTCCCGAGTGCTGGGATTAAAGGCATGCGCCACCACCGCCCAGCAAGACAGAGTACTCTTAAACTGGGCCATTCTACAGCCCCTCTGGCTCTCGGTTTGCTCCCTGCTCCAAGTCAGCCTTTCTTTCCTGCTTTTCCTGCCCCTAACCCCTAACTTCCTGGAAACCCTCTCTCCACAAGCAGACCTGTGTGTGTCCCAAATGTGGCTCTGCCCCCTCCTCTTCACAGACTGTCTCCAGGGTCTGCAGGCCTTAAGACCTGTGTAAACAGTCTTTGGTGTCAGCATGCACCCCAGTGGGAGTGTAGCATGCGGTCCACCAGCATTTCGTGGGTGGAGTTGGGGAGGAGATTCTCAAACAGAGAGGATGGGAAGAACACCAGAAATGGTTCCCCCGAACCCGTGACTTTTGTCCCTGC